GATCTTTGAGCGGATGTGATTTGCTTGATTTTGCCCCTCCGAAAAACTCACCGCTGTACTTGAAAAAGGGCCAACCTACATCCAATGATTTGCCTTACACATTACAATTAGTATGCACAGGCTTAGTGACTTACTTAAATGAGCTATGATACAATCACTTCATTTACATACAGCCAATTACAGTGCGCAGTGGTCTCGGAAGTTATGAATAATTATTTAGCAATCATGCGATGACCTGATTTAACCGCATGCATACACAGTAAACAAATGACATTATTAGCCAATCAGCATGCAATACTGTGCCTGAAGAGCTAGCTGCACACGCACGGCGAGTTGCACGCGTGAGCACGTCGCGCACACACAAGCAACGGGTCATCTAGACTCGATGACAAGTCGTTAGATAGTTGTATTTTGTCCCTGAACTTTAGTCGAACTCCATCAGCACGGCTGGTATAAGAGTACGTAATCGACCGGTGGGTTGCGTTTATCATGTCTGTCGGGTTCATTAGCTCCATGATACAAGTTGTGGTTGCGACATATCTAACGACTTGACGATTACGTTCTTGCACCGTTATTCATATATGTGTGCAGCGCAATACATATGCAGTGCAATTTTGCGATGAGATCCAATCCCGCACCGCTATGCAAATGAGGATTCATTCATTCCGTTGCATGGGTAGTTTTTCTCAATACGTAGGGGGCATGTTTGCAGATCTGGCGACGTTTTAACGACCAATACATCAGCTAGGTCAATTGTGTATTGAAATAAAATGTATGATTGTGATATTGAATCGTGCATGCCCTATAATGATTTTTGTAATGTTAAACAATACAAAGTGCAAACCCTCGAAGATATTGGAATGATGCTCCGTAGGGGGGCCTAGAACACACTATGGAATTTGAACCAATCAGACTGCTCGCATAGAATTCGCTAGGGATTCAAAATACTCACATAAAACGTATTCGCCAAGTCGGTAATTAAACATCAATAGTCAGCATCTTTGGTCTGGGAACCAGACTACCGCATTGCATGCAGCGATATATATTTTGCGTGCGTGGAGCCAGTATTACCATTCACAAAACAATTACCGACTTGGCACCAAGTCTACGGGTCATCGGTCGATTGACCTATCGGAGTAGAATCGTGTTAGCATTACGTCAACGCAGCTTGTGAAATGTTGTCCAATTACATGACATACAAAAGGACGCGGAACGAATTCCATAGGGTTGTCTTAGGAGTGTGGCTAACTCGCAGACGGCGATAAGTCAATTATACAGTCGATCAACCGTTCAGAGTAATTAATGGTTGATGAATATTGCATAGGTACATACAGTAAATTTATGTGAATTTCATTCAAAATTGGTTTCAATATTCACTAAAGTTGACAGCAACTAGCTGTGCAGTTACTTTATGAATAAACTTCTTGAGTGACAGGCAAACAGACCACCCCGGAGGCCATTGGGCGGAGCGACTCGGCCGCCTCAAAAGCATGTATTGTAAATGGATGTCGGACAGAGTCAGTGTGCTGAAGTGCAAAAGTTGTCGCTTTTTTAATTTGATGGGTACCTACATAAAATGTTTCCACAATCAATCGTAAATATTTGGTTTCTACAGCAAGCAGACATACTAAATTTACATGGGGTACAGTTCCTATGTTCAGTACCCGTTACTTTCAGGAGTTGTGGTTTCAGTAAGAAGAGGATGTATGCATTAGCCTATACCCATCTGTGTGTGTAATACAGCGCGTATTTCAATGCTGGTCATTTGTATGGAGGATGACAATTTACTTATTGTATTGAAGGCCCTGCAGAACATTACATGAGATCTGCTACATTCCTAAAATTATAATATTTACCCAGATTGTAAAACCCGTTCGAAATCGAATTAACTGGTAACGTTGGTGTGTTATCAGTTAATCTCCCTCAATGTATTTCGGCATGTGCGTAGGCCTATACAGCAGCGTATCCAGCTTTTGATGTCAGTGGGGCAACCGCACATCCGCGCCGAAATGTAGACATGTTTTTTATCTCCGGACACTTGCCCTCCGTAAAATAAAAAAGTGGGGGGGGGGGGGGGGGGCGGTTGTTGAGTGGCTTTTCTCTGGTGGGATTGATGTCAGAATAACTCTATAAACACTTCAAATCATTGCTGACAAAAAAAATTGTCAAAAAAATCCGCCAGGAGGGGCAAAGTGCCCCTCCTGCCACCCCACTGGATACGCCACTGGGCCTATAGCATCTTCCAAATGGGGGCGCTCTTCAAAACTTACCATTATTATGTATACTACATGTATATTATTATATGGACAATTTCACGGCGCATTGTAATGGTTGTTGAGCGGGGTTTTTTTGGTGGGATTGATTTCAGAAGAACTCTATAAACACTTCAAATCATTGCTGACAAAAAAAATTGTCAAATAAATCCGCCAGGAGGGGCAAAGTGCCCCCCCCCCCCCCCACTGGATACGGCTTTGGGCCTATATCACGTTATGGGGAAGTTTTTTATTGTTAGGCAAATTAGGACTGAGTTATAGGGACTTTCTGCTGTCCCCACAGCGTTTTCGGTCCCCACAAATGTGTGAGTCTATGGTGTATTCTCCAGTACTAAAGCTGGAAAGAGAAATCTAGTTATTAACAGTGGAGAAGAGAAAAAGCATTGAATGATTCTTGAACCGTATAACAGTTTTTGCTGACAAACTATTCTAAGATCGAAGGCACTGTAAATTCTTAACATTCAGCATTCAATTCACTAAATGCTAGTTACTACTGCAATGTTGTAAAATAAGGTCGTCACTGTAAGGTAATGTTATTAACAATAAAAATAAGTCCATAACTTTCATGTTAGGTAATATGAAATGTCTTAAATCTAATATAAAATGTCTTTTAAGACATTTAAGATTTACAAATCTTAATGAACTGTATTTTGCCAATATTCGCTTTTTAGAAGTAAATTGTATATGAAACACAAGTGGCATGTGACTATGTAAATATTCAATTCAAAGCTTTGTACATTTTGCATGTTTTGTTAACTCCTTGGGTCACAAACCGTCAACCTATCACACAAATCATTTGTGCAATGTCCATTTTGTGCTTCCGTAGTTAACGCGGACAGACTGCATGTTTGAACTCTGAACTTGAATCAAGAGCAGTGTTGTAGTACTCCTACTCAAATAGCAGTTCTCAAAAAAAAAAAATTGTATAGATTGACTTACCACGGCCTTATTTTATTATCGATATTTTCAGTTGGAAATGGTTGATTTACTTGCAGAGACATCCAATTTTGCTGATTTTTTTCTGTGTACGTCCAGACAAACACATTTAACAGCTAGGCGTGAGTGGGTCTGTATATTGGTCTGACTGGGCCTGGGACATTTATGCACAATGAACCATTTGTCGTACTCGTACTTGGAATACAAGTACAAATACTCGTACTCGGAGACCTGAACTTGTACTCAGAAGAAAAAGTACTTGTACTCAGTAACTTAAGGACTGGGCAGTACTCGGTACTTGGAAAAAAGTACTCAACTACAATACTGATCAAAAGCGTTTGTATCATTGGTACTGGAACAGTTATGTATGACATTGGCTTTTTTCCCCTTGGTTAAATTTTTTTCTGTCAATCCATTTTTTTAATACCTTAGTTGTTTAGGCCAAAAAAAAAAGTCTCCGGTTTCTGGTTTGCGCGCCCGTCGCCATAGCCATGCGCGTCGGCAAAATGAAAACGTTTTTTTTTTCCAATGAAAGATGATGTCTCAAAACCGCCAAACTCACTGGTTTGACTGGAATCCTGCTGCTGCACAATTTTAACGTGTTTTTAGATGGGGTTATGATCGAGAATAAGCTTTATGTGGCCTCTCTGGTCTCCCATAATTTTTGCACTAAGTTTAGTCGGGCACCATTTGCAGTCACCAGCCGACATTTGAAGCAAAAAAAACAGGTAAAAAATAAAAAAAGCCGCGTCGCCGCACCACTTTTTGGGCAAGCTCCCTACCAGAAACCGGAGCCTTTTTTTTTTTGGCCTAATATTCTCCTAAAATTTAATCCAATTATTAATTTAACACCTTGACAAATTCCTTTTTGAGTTTTTAATTCGTTGTGTGATCCAGATTGAGATTTCTTTTAAACTAGTTCGTTAATTCAGGATTTAAATTGTTTTTTTTTGCATGTGAAGGATATTTTTTAATAAGACTAAATTACATTTTTGAGAAGTTAATTTTGTTTCTTTGATTTTCTATTTGTTTTGTCCCAGTTTCTAAAAGTAAATCGCAACCTAATCATTTCAACCAGTTGTTTTCTTAGTGGGACATTTCTTCCTCCGTAACACACAGCCCAAAAGCCAATACAACCACTAAAAAGACTATTCAAGGCTGACAAAGTTCTATGCACGTAGCAACCAACATAACATCAGCAGTGTTTTGCATGTTGTGCGTTTTGTTCCCACATGTTTCAAAGTTAGGTTCTAACATTTCATGAAGGGTTAATTTGGAAAAGTGCGAGGAAATTTTCAATCACTTTCAAACAGAAATTAAAAAATACTTTTATGGGATCTCGGTTAAATTAATCAGTCATCTCTCAAAAATAAGCAGAATGTTTGGGTGGGGCGTTATAAAACAAATATTGACTGCTTTTAACTTGTAGTGTAGTAAAACTGGCCTCCCTTGGATCATCTCAGGAGGCTAGTTTTACCACACCAACCAAAATAGTCAATACTTGTATAATATCTTCAAGTTTGGGGATTCAAACAATTTTTGTTTGTCATTCAAATATGGAGTATGTTCGAGTAGCTCACCCGGATCGACTCGGCTAAAGGCAGACGGGTTAGCCAAGAGAGCTGTGCTCATGAATCGCTCAAACCCAGGCCATCGAGAGCCTCACATGACGTCCGTAGCCGCGGCCGTAGCCACTGACAAAATGCCCTTTTCGAACTGAGTCTTATTTTCAAATTTTCTGCTTTTCCATCATTCGAAATAATTAAAAATGCCGGGCTAAAATTGTAGCATCTAAAGTCGCAATGAGATCAATAAATAATTATGTTTAGGCTTCAAATAAAGTTGATTTTTGGGTCCACTTGATCCTTTTTGCTGTCTGGCCACCCTGTTTGTGCATTTCTTGGAATGAACAAAATACTTCCACCAGTGACTCCGCTCCATGAGCAGGGTCTGTGGTGGCTGACCCGGGTGAGCCCCGAGAATGACGTCAGAGCTAATCGAACGACACGGGGCTAACCTGAGTCGACCCGGGTGAGCTAATTGAACGACCCTAAGAAAGGATCTATGCAATGAAAATAACTGCCATACCTTCATGGCAATGAGTCCTCTCTCTACTAGATTGTATCCTCCAAGTTCTTCCAGTACCTGTCTGCATTCAGGACTCACGTGAATCTTGAGCGCTGTTAAATTGATGGGGGAGGGAAATAAATTATTCGGATCACAAATATAAAACATCATGAACATTTTCCATGAATAATTGAAGTTTGGTTATACCACAGAGCTATAATAAATTACTAGAGCACTAACTTGCTGTACACATGAAGCCTGCATGGCCCAAATTTATGGCTCTGCTTACCACAAAATTCCACGCTTACGATCATCATTTTGTGCTCGCCACGCTACCACAATTCTGCACTAACCTTATAAGCACAGAATCCTAGTACAGGACATACGCATGCTCACAAGCCAAAATTCCTCGCTAACCCGTGAAATACGCTTACCGACAGCAGGGAATTTTCTGCTATAGTAAGCATGGATTTTTGCTAACGGTATTAGAGCCATGAAATTGAGCCTAGTTGGGCGCATCCATATTTGTGCACAGACCTAGGAAAACTTCCAATTTTGTATGGCGTTAGTACGGCTATCTGCATATCTGCATTTGTATTCTATACCAGTGTGTTATCGAAGCCGATACGCCCACAACCAAAAAGCACAATTAGTACATGAGCGTTTCATTTTGCTCTGCGTCAACCTGCGCAAACTCAAACGCATAGGCGCTGCAGATGACATTTGCCTTAACATTTTTTTACCGTCACACTCACAGAAAACGCACTTACGTTGTTGGCGTAATGTATTTGGGCCTTGCCTTTTAATAGAGTACATTATCCGAAATCCATTTCGTGTGATTTTATTATGTTCCACAAACACGCACATGAATTCAAAATGTCTGCGCCCAGGACGGCTTCCACGTATTGTGCATGGGGTCCACAGCGCCAATGGAATGAAGCTTTCCAACATGAGATGAGGCTGGTTCATACTTCATGCTTAATTACGTTTGTGCGTACACTTTCTCCAATTTATATATGAGCATTATTTGAAGTATCTTGAGTAACAAGATTCTACTTACCCGAGTCCATTAGACTCCATACGAGACGCTGTGTTGACCGTGTCACCAAAGAGGCAATACTGAGGCATGGTCAGGCCAACTACACCCGCCTCACAAGATCCTTGAAACAAGTCCAAAACAATGAAGAAAATCGTCATACATACACAACATTCTAAAGCACAAATAGCGGGAGCAAGCTTGAAGTTATGATTCACTTGTGACTGGACTTGAGATGTACTTGTAACTGGGCTTGTAATGTACTTGTGACTGGACTTGTGATGTACTTGTGACTGGACTTGTGATGTACTTGTGACTGGACTTGTGATGTACTTGTGACTGGACGTGTGATGTACTTGTGACTAGACTTGTGATGTACTTGTGACTGGACTTGTGATGTACTTGTGACTGGACTTGTGATGTACTTGTCATGTACTTGTGACTAGACTTGTGATTTACTTGTGATGTTCTTGTGATGTACTTGTGACTAGACTTGTGATGTACTTGTGACTGGACTTGTGACCGGACTTGTGATGTACTTGTGACTATAGACTTGTGATGTAGTTGCGATCCATCATGAGTACCTCGACTACAAGCAAAGACAACGATCTTACCTGAGTGAATACCGATTCGGAGTTTGAGTTTCTCCTCTTGTTTGTGCGGCACGATGAAACTACTAAAGCCCTCCAGCAGATGCCATGCACCGGAGGTGATCATACCGGCATGACGGTTACCATTACGGAGCGGTAGGCCAGAGACCAGCATGTAGGCATCGCCAATAGTTTCAACCTTTGTAAGACGTTATCAATTATTATCGGTTAGTTTTGCTTTCAGATATAATAGAAAACATGTTTACATCTTTTTTTTGTCTTAATGTAACTTGGAACTATTAGCTAATAGCACATTTTAACGTCCTGTGATTTAAATTTTGTTGCAAGTTTGGTTTTAAACAATCTGCTTGGTTATATGGAATATTTACCTTGTAGACGTCATAGTTGGAAATGATGGCGTCGAACAGCGTGTACAAGGCATTCAACAAGTTAACGACCTGGCAAGTTGAGAACAAGACGTTAATGGTGAAAATGTGGGGATAGGTTTGGTTTGCAGTAATTTGAGATGACAATTTGAAAAAATTTGAATACACTATGCTGCTTTTCAATTTTGTATTTGTATATTGGTACCTATAAAACTATACATGCAACTAAATTTATGCAATGGAAAGGCGTATATGAAAAGGTGGTTTAAGAATACATTTAGACCTTTAAGTCAAAACCATAGACGAAATTGCCACACAATTGAAGCCCCAAATCTAACTGAAGAAATCTCATGCATCTCATACATGTACTTGGCCTTAAAGCTACAGTCCATCATTTGCAGCTATCGAAAAAGTAACTGATGTAATTATTGTTGAAAAACATACTCAGTTGAAAGATAGTAAGGGTACTAAACTTCCTGTGAAATTCTTCTTTCTGGCAAGCTGTCATTTTGAAGAAATCAACAAAAGAAGACCTTTCCAACGGTGTGTCTAAAGATGCACCGTTGGAAATTTCCGTTAGTAGTTCGTTTTTTTTTATGCGGCGAAGTGCGCGCAAGCGTTGACACAACGCACACACGCACGCGGTTGCTACACGACATCGTGTAGCTGCAATCGGCTCAGTGAGAACATGTCTCGGACACTGCATTCAGGCCCAATTCAAAACATGATTCAGCAACTTTTCATTTGAAATTGAGATCCTAGAATGCTGTTTTTCTCGGAATATACAGCTGAAGCTGAGCTGAAACTTCATCCAGTTAGTTGTTAGCACCCTGCTTTAGATTTTGAGCACGTTTGTTGCTTCAAACGAACACAATGCACAAATTACAAATGATGGACTGTACCTTTAAGTGCATGCTTAGCCAGGCCCGATCATAAACCTATGGACTCCGTTCACAAACACAGAGGGCGCATTTTGACAACTTTCAAGAGCCCTAGTTGGAGAGACGCATCACGTGCACGTTGTCTGGTGCGCACGCATATGGCGCGAAATACGCAAGATTATTTTTTGTGTGGATTTGCACCGACCCGTAGCTTCTTCGCGTGAGCGTCAGCTGCAATGCATTCGAATGTAACAGTAATAATGTGGTGCTTAGCGCTTTATACCAAAGGTCTCAAAGCGCTTCACAATTATTACCCCTGTTCATCAGGCCATGAGACCAGTTTTTACAGCAGCTCGAGATCAGTGCCTTCTGGTCTCTACCTTCACAGGTACCCATTTATACTCCTGGGTGGAGAGAGGCAATAATTGTCTCACCCATGAACATGAGCACCATGTTTCCTGTCAGGGTTCGAACCCAGTACCATGCCACACGTGTTGTACACCGTAACCATTGGCAGGGGCGTAGCAAGATCATTTTTATTGGGGTGGGGGGGGGTAAAAATGTCTTGAAAAGGGCACTTGCACATCCGTGCTGAAATGTAGACAGGTTTTTTCTCTGGACACTTGGCCTCCGTAAAATCACATGGGGGTGGGGGCATGGGGGTGCTTGTTCAGAAAAAAACGGGCACTTGTTAACAAAAGGGCACTCTTCACAAATATGGGGGGGGGGGGGTAAGCGCTGGTGAAAAAGAGCATTTGAATGGAAAAGGGCAGTCTTTACAAAATATTGGGGGGTTTATATCCCCCTTACCCCCCCCCCCCCCCCCTGGCTACGCCTATGATTGGCCAACAGCTCTCCACAATGTCCCTCCCAGTGGTCTCCCCAACTTTCCCTTTATAACCATCGAGGGGTACCTGTGCACGAAGTCTATAGGCTGGGGCTGGCATGTGACGACAGCATATGTTTTGAATTTCCCTGCTGCAGTTTGGGCTTTTAGTCAAACTTCACATAAACATTTTAGTGGCGCGGAGGTTGAAAACCTGACACAAATACAGGGTGAGTCCAAATAAAGTGGAACCCAAACCCCAAAAAATTACATTTCATTATTAAACAAACTAGTGCAGTGCCAGTCTAAAATGTGCATGTTCGGGAAGCGCAAATTGCTTTGCCGCTGGTATTGGTTGCATGCTTGCAGAGTTTTTGAGAACAGCTCGTGCGAACAACACACGCGATTCAATGGTGTTGTTTTGACAGGATGAACGCACACTCATATCAGAGTTTGTGCCAAGTTTGAAGTGGGTTGGGCGATTGGTTCTCGAAAAAGCTGCAAAAATAGCGCAGATATTCACCCCTACTGGACAATGGTATCGTCCTGCAGTAAGGTTGCTCAGTCGACCGCCTACAATGGTCGCTCAGTCGACGGCAAAAAATAATGTGCCCGTGCAGCCACCACATACATGTACCTACGGAAACATATGGTTTGCAGTGCTATTCACCCATACTGGACAATGGTATCACCCTACAATGCATGTGCCCATCCTTTTTCCATTGTTGTGTCATAATGAGCACACACACCATGACATAAACAATTGAAATTTAGGACGGCAGTGCACGCGTGGTGGTCTAGGCTATAAATACTGCCACATTTGCCTCAGAAAATGTTGCTTTTTGCAGCTTTTTCAAGAACCACTCATCCAAACACATTCAAACTTAGCACTGCACATTCTGGAGTCCCGAGCAATACACCCGCTGATTTTCAACTTAATACGGTGTCCGGTTCTGAAGATAATCAAAATACAGACAGACAGACAGAGATTTCCGGAATTATAGTTAGATATATACAACATTTTGCTTTTGCTGTAATTTTCAGAAATGGATGGATTGAGGGGTTAGTATTTTTATAGCAAATATTGTTACACTGACCTGTTTAAAGTTTTGTGTTCATAGATGCTGGGGGAAAAAACAAGAAAAAATGCCGTTCTTGTAGTCTGGTTCCCTGACCCTACTTTATATGAAACGGACCAATTTATAGATGTCGAGGAATTGTCAGATCAGGGAACCGACTAGCTGGCTTGTGGACTAACTAGATTTGGTGAATTAGGGGCAGTATTTAAAAAAAAAAAATCGACCATCGTTGGAAATGGATTCAAAAATTCCACTTTTCTTAAAAATGACATCACACCTAAATGGTTTCATAGGATGCTTGAGAGAATATTATTCACTTTCAGTCAAGTTAGGTATTTTATAATAATTTGGCAGTTTTGTTTTTGGATGTTTGCAAATGTTGCATATTACCTTTAATTTAATTTCATCAAGCTAGTTTGTATATTTTCTTTGACTTACGTATCTGCCAGTTCCGAAGAATGGAGCGAGTTGAACAGTATCCTTGACGTCCCACGCCCAGTCCTTGTACACATCGGTCTTCTTGCCGGGTCTTAGGCGTTAAGATCATGACCGCCTCGTATGCCTTAGTGGCCTTCTCGTCTTCATAGGTACCCCAGCCGAGAACTATGACAAACAAAAACCCACAAGGACAAAAAACAACCACCGTACAATAAATAACGGCAATACTGGTGTAGTTTAGAAAGTCTACAAAAGTTCGAAGTTTTGGCGATCGTGTAACTTGAGAAACTCTAGCTTGGGAAACCCCCTAGCTTGAGTAACTCCAGCTCCAATGCTCATCAGGAATTCGACATAGAGCTAGAGCTAAAACTATGTTGTAGATACTAGATTCTAAGAGAAACAAACGGGACTCTCTGTATCTGTATCACGAAAAAAATCCCAACCCAGATTCCATTAAACACAATGAGGTTGTTTAATGAAATCTGCATTAATAATTAAGAATAATAATAATGGGTTGGGAAACTAGAGGGAAAAAGGACCATTTTTGTGATACAGATGCAGAGAGTCCCGCTTCTATAGGTATACATGCTGGAATCGTCATCAGTACCTCTATGGGCGATTTTTAATGATCGCCCCTATGCTTGAATCGCCACCTGTACCTGCACGGGCGACTATTAATGGTCGCCCCTAGAGGTATATGCTTGAATCGTCATCAGTACCTCTAGGGGGCGACTATTAATGGCCGCCCCAAGGTATACATGCTCGAATCGTCATCAGTTCCTCTAGGGGCGACTATTAATATCCCAATATCCCTAATATCCTTTTAAAAGCTTATCTGTCCAGCAATCAAATTGGAATGCGTTCTATGGTCCTTCAGGCATCTTTCCAGCAAATTTGAAGCAATTTCATTTTTTGGCCAAAATTTAAAAAAAAAAACACCAAAAAACAGAAGGGGTAAGCCTTACTTTTTTAATGAAATTTGGCCCAAAAAATGACTTTTCTCCAAACTATGCAGACATTCTTTTCAAGGTAAGAGGAGCATCAATCAACATTCAAACACCCAATATTTTAACGCTTTCGGGCAAAAATCATCAAGTTTTGGAGAAAAACAACATTTTGGACTGATTTTACCACAAACTTTTGTCAAAATATTCTTTTTAAAAGCTTATCTGTCCAGAAATCGAATTGGAATGTATTCTAGGGTCCTTTAGGCATCAGTACTGCCAATTTCATTTCTTTGGCCAATATTTAAAAAAAAAACCACACTTTTTTAAATGAAATTTGGCCAAAAAATTACTTTTCTCCAAACTATGCAGAAATTATTTTAGAGGTTAGAGGAGCATCAATTAACATTCAAACAACCAATAATTATATTAAAGATTTTGGGCAAAAATCGTCAATTTTTTGAGAAAAACAATAACATTTTTAACTGATTTCCCTGCAAACTTTGTCAAAGTATCCTTTTTAAAAGCTGATCTTCATAGAAATCGAATTGGAATCCATCTGGCAACCTTGAATTCCGAATGTGAATGAACCAAAACAAAACAACAAAATGGCTTCGTAAAAGGATGCAGTGCATGTTAATGGTGCAAATCGAGGACGAACACGTGCAATATCATCGATGCATCGAGGACAGATACCAAATCGAGGACTCCTCGGTTTGTTGGAAAACGTGTACAAAACCAATGAGAGCTGTTGCGAAACAGTTTAGGCATAAACAAAGGAAAAGCGAAGAGGAACAATAGAAAATCCTCCATTTACACCAGTGTCTGATTGGGTTTTATTTTTTTGCTGTATACATTCTCACGTTACACAACTTACTTCTATGCCAATTTATAAAAATCTGTGCGTCCAAAATTGCTAAAGCTTTATTTATAAAAGTGAATAATACCCGAGTCCTCACATTCTACTATTTGCGTTTTGCAGCTGCATACCTCATATTGCATTAGTTAACAAGGGTCCATTTAAAGTTAGTTTCTAGTCACGCTGTTTTGTATGATAACAATGCTGATTTTGTTCTTATCAATACCATGACAATTCAAGTGTCATCTTTGTTACAAATCTGTAAAAGCCTTGCTTCTTCTTTCAACTTTGGATTCTAGACTGATATATTATAGTTTACAAAGTAATTTTCGATGTTATATACATTTCTTTCTTTTTTGTGAAGTTTGAATACAAGTTAATACCAAAGTAGCGACTCTCAACATTTTGAACTCAGAGTGTGTTTGTTTGATTAAAATTATTTTTTAGATTGTTTGATGTAATTTTTGTTAGAATTTCTACATGGTAATAGATTATAATGCGACTTCAAAATAATTCAGTCTTTGTAAATCAGTGACTTGATCAAAGTTAGTTATTGTACAAGTACGATTAAACTTTTTTTTCTTAAAGTTGCTAAATGAAAGCTGTTCTCGTGAACAACAAAACTGTTGGTGAACACAAAACTGTGTGCTAATTTGAATTTGTTGTTAGCTTTTTCAAATAGACCTACACACACTGTGGTATAATTTCTAGTTCAGATTGATAGCTGGTTATGGTTTTTGCCTCTTTACAAATAATTGCTGATCTAAATGGTATTGGACTTTGTAACTTCCGTTGCAGATGATGTTGGGATAATGCTAGATGTTTACAAGTTTTGTTTGGGTGGTTTGATTCTGTCGATCTTGTAGCTTGGATCCTGTCCCTCAAGCCAGTACGTCAGGATTTCACCTTTGCCCTGAAAAAAAATAAAGAGGCACAGGTAAGAGAATGATTGAAACAGTTATCTCTTGTTTCCTTTGAAATATGATGGAATTGATAATTTGCATCAGTGAAAACTAAAGGTAAGGTAGATCATTTGTCATTTGTGGATTTTTGTTTGTTTGAAGCAACAAAAGTGCTCAATATCTAAAGACAGTTGCGTAACAACTTGATGAAGATTTAGCTCTGTGAATGCTGTGTATTCAGCGGAAACAGTATTCTAGGGTCTCGATTCCAATTCAAAAGTTGCAGAGTCATACTTTGAATTGTGCCCAAAATCAGCATCCGAGACACGTTCTCATTCAGCTGATTGCAGCTACAGTACCCAATGTCACGCACTGAACCAATGAATGATATGTATGCGCGCATGTGTTTGTCGTGTCAATGCTTGTGCACACCCATTCACGGATTCACCCAATTACAAACCAACTACTAACGGAAATTTCCACAAATGTGTCCCTTGACGTATCTTTGGAAATGACCTTCTTTTATTGTGTTCTTCACAATGACAGCATGTAATGCCAGAAAGAATAATTTTACAGGCAGTCCGACCAGCTGTACTAAGGGTTGCTTTTCTATTTTTATTTTTGCTGTAATGTTCCTACTTGGGTCTCGATCATTTTGTGGCTAGACTCCGATGTTCTTTAAAAAATGGGCTGTTCTTGTGTCAGAGATGCCAACAATATATCAATAAAAAGCCTGAAACACTACTAAAAACCTGACACTACCCTTACGCCTTTCACAAGTCTGTTCTCTGGATGTTTCAGACCAAATCCAGCACTTTCAATTTTGTCACATTTAAAAAAAAACCAGAATTCAGGTTAAAACCTTAAAAGTGGCATCTCTGTTGTGTCCAGGATTTAAGCCAAGCCACCTTACCCCTACCATGTGCTATTTTTTCTACTACAACCAGTAACAGTCACTTCAATAGTACACATGAATGAAACGTAGGGTATATATTTCCTGATTTTTAGCTTTATATCGTGGATACTTTAATACATCCTCGTTTGCAATTCATATTTGTGACCTTCCTTTTTCCATTTTCATATCTTTCAAAATATAAAATCGTATTTGTAGGCATCTTAACATGTATACATGTATACATGCATCAGGAGTTATAAAAACACATGCAGTGTTGATATTTGTGCAATGTCCATTTTGTGCTTCCGTAGACAGAGTTGCCTGTTTGAACTGTGAACTTGAATCAATGGCATTTTCAGTGCTTGTTCGTATGTGCGTATGTGGGCCTATATTGAACTTGAATAAAGATCATGATCGTAGTGTTCCTTTGTTATGGTACTGTGTGACACAAATAGCGACTGGTTTTTCTTGTGTTGGGTAAAGGAATGTAGCTGTTGTTGCACCATTCATCTCATGAGGATAAAGTATAGGCCTGACATGTACACATTATAAGCCTAAGGCTTGCAACTTACAAGTTGATGGTAGTTTTGCCATACTTTTTTTACATTTGGCGGAAGTATTATGTTTGTGGTGGAAAACTTCAGCTAACTGTTGATCCAGTTTAAGTAGGTGAGTTCATTACATACAGCATTTTGGCTGGATTTTGCACAAGTCTTTTCTTTTCGTGCGTTCGCTTTGTTTTTAAACATGTTAAATATAGCCTATAGACCTACCAGGAAGATTATGCATGAGATTTGAAGGAATGTTTAGCATTTCAGTAAATGTGACGAGTGAGTAGGTGGTGTTCCTTCCCACCAACGTTTGAAATAAACATGATGCTTTTAGAGAAAAAACATATTGAATTTTCTTTTCTGAATCGAAGTCAGAAATCTAAGTCTATATCTTTGGTCTTGTTTTACATTAGGGCCTATACTCCCATTTTATTATTTCTAACTCCCGATGAGTAAGCATGCAGTCAATGTATACAAATGAATCTCCTGTTACATTTAGATTTCCAGGCTGGTACGGTGTGCGGTAAAAGAAATGGGGGCATAGAGGTGTGCACTTACGGGCAGTAAAGGAACCGGGTACCCTATTGAAAAAAATATGGGTACCTGGGTATCCGTTAAAGAAATCCAAGCCAAAAATTCAAATCTGGGAAGTTGTTGTTCTTATTGTTCATAAAGGTCTGCATGATAATACTACCACATTGGTGCGGCAATACAGATAGATAGGGTGTATACAGTGAGCTCTTTAGCTATGTGGTGAAAACTGCAACTTTCACAAGCATCATAAAACATAAAATTAGTTTTTGTTTTCCATAAATCCGGTTTTTCATTTTGAAATTTTCCGACTGACATTCAAAACATTTCTTTTTCATTGACTGAGAAGTTAAGTAATTTGCAAAGTTGGTTACGGGAACTCGATTCCACAATCTGGAAACGGTTCCTGACATTAACGGTCGGATACTCGGGTACCCGGTTCTGATGCACAGCCCTATGGGGCAATCACCTGTTTGTTATAATTTTGAATATTTTCAAACACACAGGTTCGTTCTGTTTTGATTAGGTCACATTTGAAATATGGCGGAGGCTGCAGCCAAAACTGTCTTGGACAAGATCAGCCAGGGGCATCTGGAATGTCCGATCTGTTGCTGTCTTTTTAAGGATCCCAAGATGTTGGACTGTCTGCACAGCTTCTGCCTGAACTGTCTGGAAGAGATGATGAGCAAACAGAAGCCAAAGGCAAAGAAGATAACATGTCCAGTCTGCAGGAGAGAGACACAAGTTCCTGATGGAGGATTGCAGAGTCTTTCTTCGTCTTTCTTTCTCAGTTCTCTTGTCGATGAGGTAAAACAACAGGAAGCGGCATTAGGAGAAGCATCAGCACCTACCGCCACATGTGACTGTGGAGAAGGCAAGGAGGCCATGTGGAGGTGTCTTGATTGTAGTGATAACCTCTGCCAGAAATGCCGCGAAGCTCATGAGAGGGTCAAGTCCACCAAAGACCATCAAATCATCTTGTTGGGAGATTGGCACAAATCAAAGATGCCTCCAGCAGAACATAGCAAACCCATCCCCCGAATGTGTACGATCCACAACGACCATCCTTTGTATTTCTACTGTGACACCTGCGACACCTTAATCTGCTCAATGTGTGCCACATTAGATCATCGGTCGGCAGAGCACAATTTGCTAAAGATTGATGACTCTATCAGGTCCTTCCGCACTGACGTTGATAACATACTGCAGGAGTTCGAGAAGTGCAGGCAGCGCTTCAAATCTACTGAAAAGTCAATCGAACATGCACGAAAAAGATTGCAAAAGAAACTGGCTCAGGCTCGTAGTGACATTGATGCAAAAGCGGAGGCAGAGATCACTAAAATCAGAAACAAAGCAAAGCTTCTCACCGACAAGGTCAACGAAATTGGTCAAGAGAGAGACAGCGAGTACGAAAAGGCGCTCATGCACAACCGTAAACAGATGGAACGCGCAGATCAGACCATCGCGGCAGTAAATGACTTGATGAGTCAAGCCGATGATGTCGAGCTTTTGGATCTCAAGCCAAAGGTGATGCACAACTTGGAATTCCAGAAGGAGCTCAAGTGTGAACCGGCGAATCATGGTCCGTCATTCATTGGTGTCAAATGTCAAGACGTTGTGAGTGATGAAGATCTTGGGGAGGTCTGTGTCAGCGAGAAATGGCAGTCAAAGGAAGAGTTTGGCAAAGAAGGTACCGGTGATGGGGAATTTCAATTCGCAGCGCGTGTTGCATGTTTCACAAATGGGGACATCGTAGTAACTGACACAGTTTTGAACAGGCTATCGTTGTTTAGCTCAACTGGAAGGTATAAAACATCGGTTGCTCAGGGAGATGCTGGGCATCAGTTGGAAGCTCCTTGTGGCGTTGCGGTGACCCATGATGATCTGCTTTTTGTCACGGACCAAAAGAAAGTGAAGGTTTTTGACACTGAGCTCCAGTTTGTTCGTGAGTTTACACTTTCGGCTGACGATGCCGATGGGCAATCAGAGAGTGACCTCACTGCTGTTGCTGTTGACAGTCAACGAGTAGCAGTTGCTGACATGGGGCGAAAGGTCATCAGTGTCCACAACCTGGACGGATCGATGATTGCAAGCATCTCAAACAATATGGTCAAAAATTTCTTGACAATAAGCAATTTTGGCCGTTTAGTCTTCACAAACTACGAGGGCCAAAGTTTGCTGTGCGTTAACTTTAAAGGTAAAGAGATGTTCAGGGTCAAGACATTCATGAATGGCAAAGCTGCTCAGCCAACTGGAGTCCTGTGCGATGATGATGAGACCATCTATGTCGCTGTTCATTCTGGCAAAAGGGGAGACTCTGAAGTGCAGCGTTATGATTCAAATGGTGCATTCGTAGCAACAGTAGCTCAAGGGTTGTTCAATCCGTTAGGAATGGCATTCACACCCACTGGCGATGTAGTTTTTGCTGACATATACTCTGTTAAGATTTTTGAGCGGATGTGATTTGCCTGATTATGGCCCTCCGAAAAACTAACCACTGCACTCCTACGATTTGCCATACAAGGCCCCGCAGAACATGACATGTTGTAGTTGAACCAGGGCTGTTTACATTTGCTACATTCCTGATATTATAATATTTACCCAGATTGTAAAACCTGTTCGAAATTAAATTAACTGGTAACGTTGGTGTGTTTCAGTTAATCTCCCTCAATGTATTTTGGCATGTGCGTTGGCCTGGGTAGGCCTACATCGCGTTATGGGGAAGTTTTTCATTGTTAGGAAAATACCGACCGAGTTGTTGGGACTTTCTGCTGTCCCCACAGCATTTTCAGTCCTCACAAATATGAGTAGGCCTATGTTGCACTCTGCAGTAATAAAGTCGGAAAGAGAAATCTAATCATAAACAGTGGAGAAAGAGAAAAAGCATTTCTTGAACCGTAAAACAGTTTTTGCTGACAAAATATTTTTAGATTGAAGGGACCGCTACTTCTTAACATTCGACATTCAATTCACAAAATTGAAAATATATAGTCATCACTGTTCGTAAGTCCATAACTTTTATATTAGGTAACATGAAATTTTAGCTCTAAACGCTGTGTATTCAGAGGAAAAACTAATATAGGATCTCAATTTCATTTCAAAAGTTACTGGGTCTTACGGGGTGATTCAAAAAAAATAAAAAATTGTAAGCCACCCAAAAAAGCCAAATCCTGGGTGCGCCACTGCCTATTTGTAGGCATTTTAACAGTTATACTCAATTTTATTACTAAATGATCAAATTATTTATAAACAGCAAAATTTGCAATGGATCTTCTCCTGTGGTTATATTATACGTGTTGTACAAAAAGAAGGCTAACTCCATGCAAACATCTCACTGTAAATGCTTTACATACTGTACTTTCTTATGGAGAACTTTGTACATGAAACCCCATAGACAAATTGGTGAGAAAAGTGGGATCCTGTAAACAGGAGAATAGCCAATCAATAGCCACAAATTTTAACCAATTGCTGAGAAGGCTTGGAGGGGCAACCAGCCAATAAGAGATCTTGTTCTGTGACACTTGGCAAGGCCTGACTATGGGCCAATGAGAAGTAGGGTTGGTTCTTTACATCCTAGAAGTAGAAAGTTTAGGCGGGAAGGAAAAATTGCTGGGCAGTCACTTTTGTCTCAGCCTCTGAAGAACTGTATAGTCATTTTTACCTCACAAATTTTAATTCTACTGCTCATTAAATTACCTACATAATGTTGCACACTGTGCTTTGTCTAACCTAAGTATTATTTACAAAATCGTAATGGCAGGAGTAAAAAAATATTAATGAACCATGGGGTGTTTTATCCGCTTAAAAAAAATGCCACAAGCGCAGGGCCTTTGTGGGTGCCCAAAAACCTGAAGAGCTATGGTCTCCGAGTCAAATGGTGCTTGGATGAGCTATTGGTGCTCTGGGCCTTTGTGGTGCCCACAATTTTGAAATTAATAATAATAATAATAATGTGCTGCATGCATGCATGATGGGTCGGCTGCCCAGATTTCGGTACCCGATATTTGTTGAACAAAAACCTTCTGGCTGAGGCGTGCACACACAAAATTTTCTGTGTTGCTTGTGATTTTTTATTTGTCTGCTTATAAATGTAAAGGACTTTTACCAATGCATGCAGTGGTGATATTTGTGCAATGTCTGTTTTGTGCTTCAGTGAGCAGAGGTAGGTTTGAACTGTAACCAAGAATCAATAGCTTTTACAGCATTGTTCACATGTAGACGTGTACTGAACTTGAATAAAGACCATAGTAATCTGTGACAAAAATAGCAACTGGTTTTTCCAGTGTTGAGTAAAGGAGTGAGCTGTTGTTGTACCATTCATTGCTTGAGGAAGTAGGCCTGACATGTACATGTACAAACCTAAGGCTTACAACTTACAAGTTGATGGTAGTTTTGCCATTCTTTTTAACATTTGGCGGAAGTATCATGTTTGTGGTGGAAAACTTTGGCTAACTGTTGATCCAGATAAAGTAGGTGAGTTCTGACATTTTGGCTGGATTTTACATGGTTTTTGCTTTTCATGTGTTTCGCTTTGTTTTTGAACATGTCAAATGTAGCCTACGGGCCTACCAAGAAAATTATGCATGAGATTTGCCTGAATGTTTAGCATTTCAGTGTATGTGATGCACAAGTAGGTATGTTTGTCATAAACATGATCGATGCTTTTAAAAAATATCAAATTCTCTTTTTGTAATCGAAGTCTGAAATCCAAGTCTATGTCTTTGGTCCTTTTTACATTAAGGCCTACTTCCATTATTATTATTTCTGCATAAAGGTATTGGTCATATATCAGTGTATTGAAGAACAGTAAACGGCCGCCGTTAATTTGTAACTCCCAATGAGTTAGCGGGCAGTCAATTAGTTAGTGTCAATACAAATGTATCCCAGGCTGGTGTGCCGTAAAAGAGATGGGTTAGGGCATAGGGGTGTGCACTTATGGGTAGTACAGGAACTGGGTACCCTAATGAAAAAATATGGGTACCCATTTGAAAAAAATATGGGTACCCGTTAAAGAAACCCCAGCCAAAAATTCAAATCTGGAAAGTTGCTGTTCAGATTGTTCATAAAGGTCTGCATGATAATACTACCACATCGGTGTGGCAATACGGCTAGATAGGGTGTATACAGTGAGCTCTTTAGCTATGTGGTGAAAACTGCAACTTTTGCAAGCATCATAAAATGTGAAATCGGTTTGGTTTTCCATATATCCTGATTCCTCTGACATTCAAAACATTTCTTTTTCATTGACTGAGAAGTTACTAAGTAAATTGCAAAGTTGGTTACGGATACTCGATTCCAAAATCTGGAACCGGTTCCTGACATTAACAGTCGGGTACTAGGGTACCCAGTTCTGATATGCACAGCCATGCGGAGCAATCACCTGTTTGTTATAATTTTGAGCTTTTTCAGACACGGAGGTTTGTTGTGTTTCGATTAGGTCACACATGAAATATGGCGGAGGCTGCAGCCAAAACTGTCATGGACAAGATCAGCCAGGGGCATCTGGAATGTCCCATCTGTTGCTGTCTTATCAAGGATCCCAAGATGCTGGACTGTCTGCACAGCTTCTGCCTGAAGTGTCTGGAAGAGATGATGAGCAAACAGAAGCCAGAGACAGAGAAGATAACATGTCCAGTCTGCAGGAGAGAGACACAAGTTCTTGATGGAGGATTGCAGAGTCTTTTTTTGTCTTTCTTTATTAATTCTCTTGTCGATGAGGTCAAACAACAGGAAGTGGTATTAGGAGAAACATCCGCACCTACCGTCACATGTGACTGTGGAGAAGGCAAGGAGGCCACTTGGAGGTGTCTTGATTGTAGTGATAACCTTTGCCAAGAATGCCGGAAAGCCCATGGGAGGGTCAAGTACACCGAAGACCATCAAATCATTTCATTTGGAGATTGGCAGGAATCAAAGATCGCTCCAGCAGGCCATATCAAACCCATCATGCGAATGTGTACGATCCACACTGACCAGAAGTTGTGTTTCTACTGTGACACATGTGACACCTTAATCTGCTCAATGTGTGCCGCACTAGCTCATCGGTCGGCAGAGCACAATTACCACAAGATTGATGACACTATCAGGTTCTTCCGCAGTGACGTTGACAACGTACTGCAGAAGTTCGAGAAAAGCAGGCAGCGCTTCAAATCTACTGAAAAGTCAATCGAACATGCACGTAAAAGATTGCAAAAGAAATTGGCTCAGGCTCGTAGAGATATTGATGTAAAAGCGGAGGCAGAGATCAGTAAAATCAGAAACAAAGCGGAGCTTCTCACCGACAAGGTGAACAAAATTGGTCAGGAGAGAGACAGTGAGTACGAAAAGGCCCTCATGCACAATCGTGACCAGATGGAATGCGCAGATCAGATCGTCACGGCAGTAAATGACTTGATGAGTCAAGCCGATGATTTAGAGCTTTTGGAGCTCAAGCCGAAGGTGATGTACAACTTGGAATTCCAGAAGGAGCTCAAGTTTGAACAGGCGAATCATGGTCCGTCGTTCATTGGTGTCAGATGTCAAGACATTGTGAGTGATGCAGAGCTTGGGGAGGTCTGTGTTAGCGAGAAATGGCAGTTAAAAGAAGAGTTCGGCAGACAAGGTACCGGTGACGGGGAATTTGAATCAGCCATAGGTTTTGCATGTTTTAGAAACGGGGACATTGTAGTAACTGACACAATTTTAAAACGGTTATCGTTATTTAGCTCAACTGGTCGGTATAAAACATCGGTCGCTCAGGGAGATGCTACGCATCAGTTGAAAGCTCCTTTTGGCGTTGCTGTGACCCATGATGATCTGCTTTTTGTCACGGACAAAAAGAAAGTGAAGGTGTTTGACAATGAGCTCCACTTTGTTCGCGAGTTTACACCTTCGGAAAACGATGCCGATGGGCGATCAGAGAGTGACCTCACTGCTGTTGCTGTTGACAGTCAACGAGTAACAGTCGCTGACAGGGGGAGAAAGGTCATCAGTGTCCACAACATGGATGGATCATTGATTGCAAGCTTCTCAAATAATATGGTCGATGCTGACTTGACAATAAGCAATTTTGGCTGTTTAGTCTTCACAAACTACCAGGGCCAAAGTTTGCTGTGCGTTAACTTTGAAGGTAAAGAGATGTTCAGTGTCAAGACATTCATGAATGGCAAAGCTGCTAAGCCAACTGGTGTCCTGTGCGATGATGATGAGACCATATATGTCGCTGTTCATCCTGGAAATCAGGGAGACTCTGAAGTGCAGCGTTACGATTCAAATGGTGCATTCGTAGCAACAGTAGCTCAAGGGTTGTACAATCCCTTAGAAATGGCATTCACCCCCGCTGGCGACGTAGTTGTCGCTGACGTATACTCCGTTAAGATCTTTGAGAGGATGTGATTTGTCCGATTATGGCCCCTCTGAAAAACTAATTGCTGTACTTGAACCGGGGCTAACCTGCATCTGATGATTTGCCATACACATGTACAAGGCCCCGCAGAACATGACATGTTGTAGTTGAACCAGGGTTGTTTACATTTGCTACATTCCTGATATTATAATATTTACCCAGATTGTAAAACCCATTTGAAATTGAATTTACTGGTAACGTTGGTGTGTTATCAGTTAATCCCCCTCAATGCATTTTGGCATGGGCGTTGGCCTGGGTAGGCCTACATTGCGTTACGGGAAGTTTTTTATTGTTAGGCAAATTAGGACCAAATTATGGGGACTTTCTGCTGTCCCAACACATGTGTGAGTAGGCCTATGGTGTACTCTCCAGTAATAAAGTCGGAAAGAGAAATCGTTGAAGAAATCGTGGCTAAATAATGGAGAAAAAGGAAAAGGGTTGAATGATTCTTGAACCGTTTAACACTTTTTGCTGACAAACTTTGAGATTAAAGGGACCGTAACTTCTTAAATTCGGCATTCAATTCACAAAATTTAATTTACTACTGTTACGTTGTAAATATGGTCATCACCGTTTGTAATGTTATAACAAACAAAAAAGTCCATAAGTTTTATGTCAGGTAATATGAAATGTCTTAAATCTTAATGAAGTGTATTTTGCCAATCTTCATTTGGTAAAAGTACACTGTATATGAAACACAATGGCACGAGACTATGTAAATATCTAATTCAAAGCTTTGTACATTTTGCATGTATAATTCCTTGAATCACAAAACTGATGACCTATCACACAAACCATTTGTGCACTGTCCATTTTGTGCTTCCGTAGTTAACAGAGACAGACTTCCTCGTTGAACTCTAAACTTGAATTGATAGCGTTTGTATTGTTTGTCCATGACGTTGACTTAGTGCCTATACATACATGTATGTACAGTGTACATGTACATACCGGTTGTGTACAGTGAGATTAAAGAGGTTGTGGAATGCTCGAAAACATTTCCGTCATTTTTCGGGTATATGTAGCCGAAGGTGTGATGAAATAAAAACGACTATTGGTTCTGTCATGAATTGAGTACAAAGGGTACTTTTGAGAGCTATTTTTCAGGTCCTGTTTCGACCCGAACGTGCAATTTGTGTAAAAGTCGTCGTTGCAGGCAGCAAAACAAAACACAGTAAATCGTGACGTAATGAACAGGACTCGTTTATGCTACTCTGCATCGGGAGTCCTGTTTATTATGTCACGATTTACTGTGTTTTGTTTGCTGCCCGCAACGATGACTTTAACACAAATTGCACGTTCGGGTCGAAACAGGCATGACAGGACTTGAAACCGCGCTCAAAAGTACCTTTTGTACTCATTTTATGACGGAAACAATAGTCGTTTTTATTTCATCACACCTTAGGCTACATATACCCAAAAAATGACGGAAATGTTTTCGAGCATTCCACAACCTCTTTAACATAGCAACTGGTTTTTCCCATGATGAGTTATTGACATACTATCTTAAACCATGTAAGCTTTCAGGCCAGACAGGGGGCTATTGCGATCGCTTATTCCTTCTTTGCGGTCGAGTTTGTTTCTGCATTCAATAGGGGACGTTGAACAATAGAAGACAACGGGGTCCCCAATTCCCGAGAGGTCCCAATTTGGATTCGTGTACAAAACATATGGGAGGTCTTCCTAAAAAGTTCAAGTACAAACAAAAGAGGGACAATAGGGGGTCCCTGATTACAGGCAAATACGCACTTATGCGTGTGTGTATGTTCCAGTAAACTGTATAAAGTTCAGTCATCAATCTCAACCTTAGTTTTTCTCTTATTCTCCTAAAATTGTATCCAATTGTTTATTTATTACTCCTTGGCAAATTCCTTTTTGTGTTTTTTTATTCATCGTTTGATCCAGATTGAGTTTTTTTTAAGTATTTGAGAAAATTGTCTTTTTTTATATAAGGATTCAAATTGTTGGGTTTTTTTTGCATGTAAAGGATTTTTTTTTAATGAGACTAAATTAAATTTTTGAGGAGTTTATTTTGTTTCCTTGATTCTTTTTCTTCTTTGTTCAAGTTTATCAAAGTAAATCGTGACCTAATCATTTGAACCAGGATTTTTTCTTAGTGAGCCATTTTTCCTGTTACACACAGCCAAAAAAGACAATACAACAACTAAAACAGTATTCAAGGCTGACAAAGTTCTATGCTCTTAGCAACCAACATAGCAACAGCAGTGTATGCACACGCATATTATGGGTTTTGCGTGTTGCATGTTTTGTTACCACGCGCTTCAAACTTAGGTTCAAACATTTCATGAAGGGGTAGTTTGGAAAAGTGCCGGGAAATTGTTAATTACTTTTGTATTGAACTATAAGAACGTTTTTATGAGATTGTTGTTAAATTATTAAGCTATCCCTCAAAAACAAGCAGAATCTGTTGGTGGGGCATTATAAAACAAATATTGACTGCTTTCAACTTGTAGTGTAGTAAAACTAGCCTCCTCGGTGATCCATGGAACATTCCTTTTCCTGGTTGTCACCTTGGGAAAAGCAAACACTGTATGGAGCAGCTCAGGAGGCTAGTTTTGCCACACTCACCAAAGTAGTCAATACTTCTTTTAAGTTCGGGGATTTAAACAATTATTGTTGGTCAGTCAAATATAGGGTGCGTTCGAGTAGCTCATCCGGATCAACTCGGCTAAAGGAAGACAGGTTAGCCAAGAGAGCTGTGCTGATTAAACACTCAAACGCAGGCCATTGTGACGTCCATGGCTGCAGCCGTAGCCACTGACAAAACACCCTTTTCGAACCGAGTCCTTTTTTCAGATTTTCTGCTCTTCTGTCAGTTGAAATAAGTAAAAATGCTAGGCTGGACTTATAGCTTCTAAAGTCACAATGAGATCAATAATTAATTACGTTTAGACATCAAATAAAGTTGATCTGTGGGTTCACTTGATCTTTACCACTGTCCGGCCGCCATATTTGTCTGTTTCTAGGGCTGAACAACGCATGCGAGTGATGTATTTCCATCACTGACTCCGCTCCACGAGCAGGGTCTGTGGTGGCTGACCCGGGTGAGCCCCGAGAATGACGTCAGAGCTAATCGAACGGCACGGGGCTGACCCGAGTTGACCCGGGTGAGCTAATCAAATACACCCTTTGAAAGGATCTTCGCAATGAAAATAACTGCCGTACCTTCATGGCAACCAGTCCTCTCTCTACTAGATTGTATCCTCCAAGTTCTTCCAGTACCTGTCTGCATTCAGGACTCACGTGAATCTTGAGCGCTGTGAGATTGTAGGGGTGAGGGCAAAAACATTATTCAAAAGCGAAACGCAAAATGCCGAAGAAAATCAGTTACGATAAAGAAAATCAAATAAAAGATCTTGCTAAGAAAACATTTTTGAATTTGGGTAATGCATACCAGTGGCGTAGCTTGGATTCTTTTAGTGGGGGGGGGCACAGGGGGCATCAGAATATCACATGGGGCACATATCACAAACTTTCTATTGCAGTTTTTCCCAGTTGGGCCCCATAAGGCCTCGCTATATCCACTGACATTAGAAACTGTAAAAAGTAAGCCTTTGGCTAACTGAAAAAATACAACTTACAAAAACCCTTTTTGGTTGGGGAAGAAAAAGGGGCATTATCAGTATTGTGGTGGGGTGGGGTAGGCACCCGGGGGGTACAGAAATTTTGTGGGGGGGGGGGGCACGTGCCCCCCTGTGGCTACGCCACTGATACATACACCCTTTACACAATGGAAGTGCAATGATGCATTATTTTATTGTGAATTGCGGGATAGTTTTGTGTGAAACTCCCCAGCTTTGGTGCTTGGTATTAGATGGCAGTGTAAATCACACTGTGGTACTCACTGCACAATGCCAATGCCAAACATTGACTTCAAACGACCCCCCCCCCCCCCCCCTCCTTGGTGTGTAGGCATGAGTGCCGGACGCCGTTGGCAATTTGCTCAAGAGTCCCTTCGAGTGGTCTCCCCCAACTCTCCATTTGTAACCATGTAAATGTGCACGAAGTCCATAGTGCAAACGGAATGAAGTTTTCCAACACGAGCCGAGGCTGGTTCATACTTCATGCTTAATTACGGTTAGAAAACTTGGGTTTCTCCAATAGGGCTCGCTCAATGACGGCCATCTCTGTAGGAGAACTACAACTGCGTATTTTACGCAATCAAGCACGCATAACACAGTGTTGAACATGTTCCAAACACGCGGGCTGGTTGCTCGAAATGTGTTCAAAATGCGACGCAGCTGATGCGCGTTATGCAAGTTGACGCTCAAAGTGCCGATGCACGTGGAAGGTCTGTAGGAAATGACGTCATTTGAAGGAGACCTATTAATATGACAACACAGTTTGAGCTGTCTTGTGTCACAAGATTCTACTTACCGAGTCCGTTAGACTCCATACGAGACGCTGTGTTGACCGTGTCACCAAAGAGGCAATACCGAGGCATGGTCAGGCCAACTACACCTGCCACACAAGATCCTTGAAAAAAGTCCAAAACAATGAAAAAATCATCATACATACACAACATTCTCAAGCACAAATAGCATGAGCAGAGCTTGAAGTTGTGATTCACTATTATGACCGGACTTGTGAGGTACTTGTGACTAGACTAATGGTGTACTTGTGACTGGACTTGTGATATACTTGTGACTAGACTTGTGATATACTTGTGACAGGATTGAAGCTGTACTTGTGACTGGACTTGTGATGTACTTGTGACTAGACTTGTGATGTACTTGTGACTGGACTTGTGATGTACTTGTGACCAGACTTGTGATGTATTTGTGACTGGACTTGTGATGTACTTGTGCCTGGACTTGTGATGTACTTGTGACTGGACTTGTGATGGACTTGTGACTGGACTTGTGATGTGACTAGACTTGTGATGTACTTGTGACTGGACTTGTGATGGACTTGTGACTGGACTTGTGATGGACTTGTGACTAGACTTGTGATGTACTTGTGACTAGACTTGTGATTTAGTTGCGATCCATCATGAGTACCTCAACAACAAGCAAAGACAACGATCTTACCTGAGTGAATACCGATTCGGAGTTTGAGTTTCTCCTCTTGTTTGTGCGGTACGATGAAACTACTAACACCCTCCAGCAGATGCCATGCAGCGGAGGCGATCATACCGGCATGACGGTTGCCATTACGGAGCGGTAGGCCGGAGACCAGCATGTAGGCATCGCCAATGGTTTCAACCTTTGTAAGATGTTATTATTCATTATTGGTTAATTTCACTTTCAGATATAATAGAAAACATGTTTACATCTCTTTTTTTGTCTTAATGTAACTTGGAACTATTAGCTAATAGCACATTTTAACGTCCTGTGATTTAAATTTTGTTGCAAGTTTGGTTTTAAACAATCTGCTGGGTTATATGGAATATTTACCTTGTAGACGTCATAGTTGGAAATGATGGCGTCGAACAGCGTGTACAAGGCATTCAACAAGTTAACGACCTGGCAAGTTGAGAACACGACGTTAATGGTGAGAATGCGGGGATAGGTTTGGTTTGCAGTAATTTGAGATGACAATTTGAAAAAATTTGAATACATTAAGCCGCTTTTCAATTTGGTTTGTATATTGGTACTTATAAAACTATACATGCAACTATATTCATGCAATGGACGATGAAAAGGCGTATATGAAAAGGTGGTTTAAGAATAAATTTAGACCTTTAAGTCAAACCATAGACGAAATTGCCACACAACTGAAGACCCAAATCTAACTGAAGAAATCTCATGTATCTCATACATGTACTTGGCCTTAAAGCTACAGTCCATCATCATTTGCAGCTATCCAAAAAGTAACAGGTAATTATTGTTAAAAAACATACTAAGTTGAAAGATAGTAAGGGGACTAAACTCCCTATGAAGTTCTTCTTTCTGGCAAGCTGTCATTTTGAAGAAATCAAAGAAAGAAGGCCTTTCCAACGGTGTGTCTAAAGATGCACCGCTGGAAATTTCCGTTAGTAGTTCATTTTTTTAATCTTTGAAATTGAGATCCTAGAATGCTGTTTTTCTCGGAATATACAGCTGAAGCTGAGCTGAAACTTCATCAGGTTAGTTGTTCAGCACCCTTCTTTAGATTTTGAGCACGTTTGTTGCTTCAAACGAACAAAATTCACAAATTACAAATGATGGACTGTACCTTTAATTGTATGCTTAGTCAGGCCCGATCATAAACCTATGGACTCCGTTTACGAACACAGAGGGCGCTTTTTGACAACTTTCGAGAGCCCTAGTTGGAGAGACGCATCACGTGCATGTTGTCTGGTGCGCACGCATATGGCGCGAAATACGCAAGATTATTTTTTTGTGGATTTGCACCAACCCGTAGCTTCTTCGCGTGAGCGTCAGCTGCAATGCGTTCGAATGTAAAAATAACAATGTGGTGCTTATATATAGCGCTTTATACCAAAGGTCTCAAAGCGTTTCACAATTATTACCCTTGTTCATCAGGCCATCACACCAGTTTTTGCAGCAGCTCAAGATAAGCGCCTTTTGGTCTCTACCTTCACAGGTACCCATTTACTCCAGGGTGGAGAGAGGCAATTGTAGTAAAGTGTCTTGCGCAAGAACACAATCACCATGTTTCCCGTCAGGGTTCGAACTCAGTACCACGGCACATGAGATGAACACCATAACCATTGGCAGGGGCATTTTTATTGGGGGGGGGGGGATTTCTTGTAAAGGGCACTTGCACCAACCTCGTCCCCAGGGTGTCGCGCAGTACGCGCCCACCACTACCTGCTCTCTCACCCTGGTATTGGATCATTTGCATGTGCAAGATTTTTGCACACGTATGCAAATGAGGAACAGTCTGGTGCCTGGATATGCGTTACACATTAGCGTTTGTTTTTGTATGCGGTGTCTGGGGTAAAAACAGAGTCAATTCGTAGCAACGCGAGCACGGCGTGAGTTATGAAAACACGATTTTTGAAATCAAACTGTTACGATCTTATTGAGAAAACATGCAGTATCATATTTCATATTAGTATGAGCAAATTGGAAAGGAAATTAGTATTTTCGAGAAGGCGTGGACGAATGATCGCGAAAACACGTACTGCACGTTGTGAATATATAGCACCAAGTACACGATAAAAATCCATTACTAGCCAATTGCGGTATCCAATCAGGATACAGGAAGAAAGTTTCCTATCCAGGGTTTACTATTGGAAACGCGGTTGGAAATAGTAAGCACTGGGGACGAGGTTGCACTTGCACATCTGTGCTGAAATGTAGACAGGGTTTTTATCTCTGGTCACTTGGCCTCCCTAAAACCAAATGGGGGGGGGGGGGTGGCTGGTTTCGGGGCGCTTGTTTAGAAAAAAACGGGCACTTGTTAACAAAAGAAGGGCACTCTTCACAAATATAGGGGGGGGGGTTAAGCGCTGGTTAAAAAAGGGCATTTGAATGGAAAAGGGCAGTCTTCACAAAATATGGGGGGGTTATATTCCCCCCTCCCCCCGCTTGTCACGCCTATGATTGGCCAACGGCGCTCCACAATGTCCCTCCCAGTGGACTTCCCCAACTTTCCCTTTATAACCGTCGAGGGAGTACTTGTGCACATAGTCTGTAGGCACGTGATGACATATAGGGCCAAGTTCGGGCAAGGACCATTAGTCGACTAGTGGTTGATTTGTGACGTACCTTACGCCTGCGCACTGATAGCAACGTGCGAACGTCTCTAGTCAAACGCTGGTCAAATTGTCATCGCAAAACTTCTGGATCCTGGCTCTCTGCTTGCGTTATGAATGCGCGCGGCTATTGGTTACCAGCGAAGCAACCAACCCCAGTAGGCTGGTTCCAAATAGTCGACTAGCGTAGTCAACCACCGTCGACTAGACAGAGTTCGGGCAAACGTTAGTTAACCATTGGTCAACTATAGTCCTTGCGCGAACTTGGCCTATGTTGTGGATTTCTGCTTTTTGTCAAACTTCATGGTAAGATCTTGGTGGGACGCAAGTTTAAAAACCCGACACAAGTAATTACCTGAATGGGTGTACTAGCAGCAGACAGAGCGGTGAAGCCCACAATATCAGAAAAGAAGATGGACACCATGTCGAAGGTTTCCGGAGCAACAGAGATCCCCTTCATCAGCTGTGATGCTATAGATCTAGTGAATAGTAACACCACTGGCATTTTAGTACCGATTTTCAGACAACAAAAAGGACTAGCGATTTTGCCATTTGCATTGGTAGGAGGGCCCTAGCTAATATTTTCCTGTACATTTGTGCATTTCTTTACCTACAGACAGTATAGTGATTGTGTAGTATGGGGCCCCTCTTTAGTTTTGATCAAATTAGAGTCAAGGGTGTTTTTTATCATTCCAAAATGACTTTTTCAACCTAAAGCAGACTTTGACATTTTTTTTTTCGAGTATGATTTGAGGCTTTGCATGGTGGAGATACTAAATAATAAAAGGTTTGCGGAAACACCATGTGGGAATAATTTCTCAACTAAGAAAATGGTTCTGAAAAGAACCAGAGGTAATTTTTTTTGGTAATTTTGAAAAGTTTCTTGCGCTAGAAAATGCAATTGTCTTTAATACGCCTTACAGTCGGTGCCATGTGACTCAACATGGTTCACTGTGCGTCACGGTGATTGCCATCTTTTGATACACGCGCGCGCCAATGATGTTGAAAGAGAACAAATGCCTGCGTGCTCAACTGTCATATGACGTGTAAAACTAACAATTTTGTTGCACTGACAAATAATAAAAGCCTCTGTGGTTTTATGTTTCCACGAAGTTACAAAAACTGTGTACAAAGTAATGGGAAATATGGGACTCCCATGTATTGATGTTCTCACGAAGTGCAAAAAGGTTTTGTTAATGAATTACTGTTTAATTTAGAGACATTTTTGTCAAACAGCTAGCTTTTGGACAATGCAAAAAAACAGAATTCTGTTACTGCCAAGTGGTCGAAAATGTCATTTGAAAAAAATGATTATCTCGTGATGAACTTTCGCCAGATTAAGAAGTTATTGTCACTTAGAGAGCACAGCGACAAATTGACAGTCAACACCGACAGTTAAGGAAGTTGGCTGTCTGCACTGGCTGTCTGCACTGGACTAAACTTGGTTAAGTTGACAAAGGTCTCCGTAAGTTTAACCCCAAAACGTTCACGAGTTTAACCCCAAAACGCCCACGAGGCCACAGAGCACTGTGGCCTCGTGGTGTGGAGTACTGTGGCCTCGTGGATAAGGGCACTGATTCGTGGTCTGCGGGTCAAGCTGCAGGTTGTGGGTTTGAGTCCTGGCGGGGTCATGGTGCGTGTGCCCTTGAGCAAGGCACTTTGTCACTCATTGCTTCTCTCCACCCAGGAGTAAATGGGTACCTGTGAGGGCAGAGATGGTTATTGTGATTGAATTAGCTTCCTTGCGCCTAACAGGCTGCATCGAGCTGTATACTCCCCAGGGAGCTGAGATGGTGTTAGGAATGTTTCATGGGCACAATGAGCAGGGGTAATAATGATGTAGCGCCTTGAGCACCAGTCCCGGTGGATACGTGCGCTTTATAAATATCCACTATTATTATTGTTATTATTCTATGAAACTCACGGTGGCAGCATGCGGTGCAACAATTGTTCTGTCTTGGTCTTCTCTCGTCGCAGCTCCTCGGTACGTTCGTCTACTAGCTCCTCCAGGTTGTTGGTGTAGCGCTCCATGATGGCAATCATGTTGTCCATGATGTTGGGTTTCCTTCAGAGAAAAAAGTATTCCAGGAGTGAAGAGTAAGCCCCTTAATAATTCAATATAGCCAGTGACGTAACTACGGGGGGAGGGCATTTGAAATCTTGAAATTACAAAAACTTGTACACCGCGTTGTCGAAATGAGCGCTTAGACTGGTGTTCATAAAGGTGTTCACTGGTGTTCATAAAGGCAATAAATGTATCAACCTGTATTATTACGTACGCGTACGCCAAAGAATTTACGCTTTTGTCATGCCAAGACTGTGGGGCAAACTACGTCTGCAGTGATTACGCATGGTTGTATAATTTCATTTATACATTCATTTTTGGGAGTGTGCTATTTGAGGTGGTTTCTGGCCCTGCTCCAAGTAGGTCTATATTGAGAACAAAATCCACTGTTTCAGTCCTACAAAACTAATATATAACGTTAGTTGGAGATAGCTTGAGTAACTCCAGCGTATATGCTCATCAGGAATTCGACAAAATTATAACACTGGAGTGCAAGCTATGTTGTATATCCGTAGGTTCAAAATGGCAGAGTCCCTAACTCCTAAAAACAAGGACTCCACAAAAACCTCAACAACTCCACAAAAACCTACTCAACAGAAAAATCCAGTTGTTTAAGTTGTCAATGGCAAGATTTGTTAACAACGAGATCTTACCTCCCTGTGGTTTGTGTTTCAAAAGGTACAGCTACAGCATTTACGTCCATATACATGCAGATAGGCCTTATCAGTCCAAAACGAAAACGGCAAGCCGCAGTTCATTTACTTTCAGTGCCTCCTTGGAAAGATGTGTGCACCCCCAGGTGCCCCCCAGAAGTTTCACCCCAGTTACGCCCCTGAATATAGCAGCATGAAAGCCACGTATTTAGGACTTTTGTTAAAAGTGACTCACAGTCCTTTCTGTAGAGGAGCCAGCGTGGTGCGAGCTCCGAAGAAATCCGGTCGGTCCTCGGGATCCTCTACCCAGCATTGGCGGATGGCCTTCAGCACGCACTCTGGTGCGGTCTCATTCACGTCGTTGAGCAACGGCCGGTAAGGCGGTATAGAACCTGCCTTCAGTCTCGCAATAATTTCTGTGAGGATAAGGATGTGAATCAATCAATCAATCAATCAATTGTTCTGCTCCAACCACAGGCTGGGTAATTTCACCAAGGCCACCGCGGCTTAGAGCAACGAAGCTGCAAACTTAAGAAGCACAGGAGCAAAGACCAAGCCAGCGTGCATGTATGGCAAAGTCACGAGGCCTTCTTGGGTGCGTGCGCGTGCGGGCGTCATGCATCCAAGTAGTGCGCATTTCTAAGGCTAATGATCAGTTGAAATTTTGCTCCCCTTTCAGATTGCAGCACCAAGACTTTGGAACTCCCCACCTGAATCTGTGAGACTTTCAAATTCACTGGGCACATTCAAGAACAGTTTCAAATCCTACCTGCATGGAGAAGCATTTGGTTGACTTTGGTTTCTACCTGTTTGCTTAACGATGCCGTCTTGTTAGCGTGACGATCATCTTCACGGGTAGAGGGTCGAGTCAATCAGGTGCTTCTTTATTCTTATGGGTACGTGTGGTCTAGCGGTGGAGCACAGGATTCATGATCGTGAGGTTGTGGGTTTGAGCCCCGCGATGGCCATGCGTGTTGTGCCCTTGAGTAAGGCGCTTTACCTCAATTACTCCTCCTCAACCCAGGTGTTAAATGGGTACCGGCATTATTCAATGCTGGGAAGGTAACAGACTCGCTGTGAAGGAGGTGTGGCGATCCTCCCACAGCAGCATATGAGTCTGGCCCAAACGCTAAAGAAAGAGAGATGGGCACTCCGTTCCTGTTAACACAGGTTCGTCCACTTATTCTTATTGTTTTTTATTTGTTATGCAGTGCAGCGCCATGAGCGCCGCATTATTATTATTGTTATTCTCATCATCTGAATCAAATGAAGACAGTCTCCAACCCACCTTCCGGTTCTTCGTCGTTGAGGTTGTACGGTTCAGATCGTGAGTACATCTCAGTCAGAATGACAGCAAATGAGAAGACGTCACCCTTGCGGGTGCCGCATGCTGGCATGGTCTGTCCCATCCGGAGCAGTTCAGGAGCCCTCCAAAGCATATCTAAGATACAAGAAAAAAAATCAGACACCCAACTGATAACACAGTGGAATCCGACGACCAGAATTAGAAGCTTTTACTGGAGTGGTGTCACGCTCACGCACATGCTGCACCCGTTCTTTAAGGTACAGTCCATCATTTGTAATTTGTGCATTGTGTTCGTTTGAAGCAACAACCGTGCTCTAAATCTAATGAAGGGTGCTGAACAACTAACCTGATGAATTTCAGCTCAGCTTCAGCTGTATAGACTATTTCGAGAAAAACAACAATCTAGAATCTTGATTTCAAATCAAAAGTAGCTGAATCATATTTTGAAATGGGCCTCAATTCAGCGTCCAAGACACATTCTCACTGAGCCGATTGCAGCTACATGATGTCGCGCACTGATCCGACGAATTATAGCAACTGCGCGCGTGTTTGTTGTGTCAACAACTGCGTACACTTCACCGAAAAAAAAAGAACTACAACAGAAATTTCCAACGGTGCATCGTTAGACGCATCGTTGGAAAGGCCTTCTTTTGTTGATCTCTTCAAAATGACAGCATGTCAGAAAGAATAATTTCAGAGGGAGTTTAGTCCCCTTACTATATTCCAACCAAGTATGTTTTTCAACAATAATTACGTCAGTTACTTTTTAGATAGCTGCAAAAGATGGACTGTAGCCATAGAGCTATATCAAATTACTAGAGTGCTAACTCTTCATTCTTGTGCAAGGAGATACTTTGAAGCCACTCTGGGCGCAGACATTTTGAATTCATGTGCGTGTTTGTAGAACACAATCAAAATAGATGGATTGAATTTTAAAAGTGTATTCTAAATGCAATGCACACGCAAGTGGAAGATACGCAAACAACTCAAGCGCGTCATGACGGCTCAAAAAACGTCATGGCGAAAAGCATCTGCAGCGGAGGGACGTGCACGCATTGTGCTGTTTGCGTAGAGCAAAATGAATTGCTCATTTGCTGATCGTGTGTTTCGGTTTTGGGCATATTGGCTTCGATAATGCAATACAAATGGAATACAAACACAGATATATGGAATACAAACACAGATATGCAAATAGTCGTACAAAAGCCGTACCAAATTTCTAGTTCTCCATAGGTTTGTGCACAAACATGGATGCGCCCAGCAGGCATTACTTTGTACATTGAGTTAGATCTCTAGTAATTAATCTAGCTCTATGACTGTAGCTTTAAATGACTGGTTTTTTTTTTTTAAAGCAAACAATGATTTGGAAGTGGCTTTCCAAATTCAGATTTCTGTTTGTGGTCTCTTCTACTCACTTCTGTACCGCACATCATCAGTCATATCCGGGTCTTCGCCTTGCCCTTTCTTGAACTGCCACAGCCCATAGTCCGTGATCTGCAAGACCCAACGGTTGTCCACGACGCAGTTGGATGACTTGAGATTGCCGTGGGACTCAATCTCGGAGGTGTGTATGTAGATCATGCCTTTGACGAGATCGGCAATCAGCGACGCCAGGAACATGTTATCAAGCTTGATGTCATCGTTTTCCAGAATGTCCTTTTGATTAAAGGAGTAACATTGGAGAGGTTGATGTCGGTGCAATGTTACTAATCCATTCCACAAAATATAGTGATTCCCGTTTGCTATTTCCCAGGTTTGCAGCATTGCTAATGTTGCTAGCATCATTTGGGTGTGATCCCTGGCTACATGGTATATATGGGTTTATGGCTTCTGACTAGCGCCCCTTGAACAAAGACATTGACAAAATGGGGAACAGCCATAGAGCTATATTAAATTACTAGAGCGCTAACTCCTCATTCTGTGCGCGGAGACGCTTTGAAGCCATTCTGGGCGCAGACATTTTGAATTCATGTGCGTGTTTGTAGAACATAATGAAATAAGATGGATTGAATTTTGAAAGTGTACTCTACATGCAACACGCAAGTAGAACATACGCAAACTTAAGCGTGTCATTGACGGTTCAAAAAAACGTTACGGCAAAAAGCATCTGCAGCGAATACGCACACGCGTTGCGCTGTTTGCGTAGAGCAAAATGACACGCTCATTTGCTGATCGTGCGTTTCGGTTTTGGGCGTATCGGCTTCGATAACGCACCGGTTTGGAATACAAATGCGGATATAAGTCCAGCGGATATGTGACAAAATATCGATGAATTGTGCACTTTTGCATAAAAGCGTGAAACTTGGCACAGATGTTTATATTCATGCGAGAAAATGTTTTAGATGTGGAGCCATCGCAAATTTACCCTTTTAGGGGCGTGGCATCCATTTAAAAAAAGGGGGGCGGGACTTGTCGTGCCCGCAGTAAAATAGGTTTTTCCCACTTGTTACAAAAGCAGGAAACTTCACAAAGACATAATTATATAGATTATTAGTGTTTTCCAGATTCGGAGCCACCACAAAAGTACCTTTTTAGGGGCGTGGCAGCCATTAAAAGAAAAGGGGGGGTTTAATTATTATGCCAACTTTGGAAAACATTGTGCCCATATTTCATGAACAAATAAAACGTCCCACAGACCTTTATATTCATGAGAAAAAAAATTCCAGATGTGGAGCCATCTCGAACACACCCTTTTAGGGGCGTGGCAACCATATAGGGGAAAAAAGGGGGGCGGGGTTTTGATTATGCCCACCCTGGAAATATTGTTCCCACACTCATAGAGAAATGGAACTTTCCACAAACATTGACATTCATGAGAAAACAAATTCCAGATGTGGAGCCATCTCGAACACACCCTTTTAGGGGCGTGGCAACCATATCAGAAAAAGGGGGGGCGGGATTTTCATTATGTCCACCCTGGAAATATTGTTCCCACATTCATAGAGAAATGGAACTTTTCACAGACATTGACATTCATGATAAAAACAATTCCAGATGTAGACCCATTGCGAACACACCCTTTTAGGGGCGTGGCAGCCATATTGAAAAAAGGGGGGCGGGGTTCTCATTATGCCCAACATGGGAAAAGTGTGCCCACATCTCATAAACGAATGAAGCTAATTTCCACAGACATTAATACTCACGAGATAAAAATCACACGTGGAGCCATCGTAAACACACCCTTTTAGGGGCGTGGCAGCCATAATAAAATGGGGGGGGTAGTCATGATGCCCCTATAAAAGAAAGTTGTGCCTACCTTTCATAAATGGATTAAATTCCACTCGGACAATACATTCATAAAAATCTTTTTTTTTAATGTGAGGCCATCACAAACCTACCCTTTTAGAGGTGCGGCATCCATTTTTAAAAGGGGGGGTACTCAATATGCACAAAGTGGAAAATTTTGACCGCGTTTCATATAATAAAATCCACCTCAGATAGCTGTTTAATGTGTTGGAGTAGGGCCGCCTTTATAGTTGGAATTTACTGTTGTCAAACCCTTTGTTTTCTTACACTATGCATTCTGGCCTCATCTATATTAACCCAGTTACTGGTTCTTTCGTCTGTAGAATTATTGATAAACTTTCAACTGCATCAATATCTGAATTAGGGGTATAAACTGGGGTACCTCAGTTAGTCCTGGAAAGACTAGTGTTACTTCTTCAAATACATTGTTTCCCCTGCCTTTTTTTCTGACAGACCAAAAGGCATATGCAGTGTCGCACCTGTATAACGTATAAATTTTTTTAATGGATTTGGTCGGGGTAAAAAAAAACACTCATAAGAGCTTGATATACCATTTTTAAGAGAACAGAGGTGTTGTGTGGTGGGGGTACACAGATTCATTGAATGTGAAGTCATAGTGGACGTGTCCACCACTTTGTGAGGCGAGTACATCGTGTTGTTACCCAATCTGCTGTCAATGCAGCGCAACGGGTAAGGGGTAGGGGGATTTTACACTCCCCCCCCCCCCCCCCCCCCCCCCCCGTAAAAAAAGGATTTCCATGGCCCATTAATGTTAAATGTTAGAGTTTAGGGCTGCCATTGTGTGCTGTGTATTTGTAATTATGAAATCACTCTGGAATTTAGATGTGCATGATAATATAGGTGCAAGTACACACATTGAACAATATAACACGGGTTAGCCTACCGGTACTTACATGTACCCATGCTCTTTGGGGTATTGTATTACCAAATAATATAGGTTATGGGCCAATCAACATTATAAGAAATCAACAACAAAATATAAAAATTGCAATTGTGGGCACAGTGAGTAGGCCCCTCACACCTCTAAAAGGATGAGTTTGCTGTGGCTCTACATAAGAACTTTCTTTTATAGGGGCATCATGACTACCCCCCCCCCATTTTACTATGGCTGCCACGCCCCTAAAAGGGTGTGTTTACGATGGCTTCACGTGTGACTTTTTTTTTCTCTTGAATATTAATATCTGTGGGAATTAGCTTTATTCTTTCATGAGATGTGGGCATTTTTTTCCCATGTTGGGCATAATGAGAACCCCGCCCCCTTTTTTCAATATGGCTGCCACGCCCCTAAAAGGGTGTGTTCGCAATGGCTCTACATCTGGAATTGTTTTTATCATGAATGTCAATGTCTGTGAAAAGTTCCATTTCTCTATGAATGTGGGAACAATATTTCCAGGGTGGACATAATGAAAACCCCGCCCCCCCCTTTTTCTGATATGGTTGCCACGCCCCTAAAAGGGTGTGTTCGAGATGGCTCCACATCTGGAATTTGTTTTCTCATGAATGTCAATGTTTGTGGAAAGTTCCATTTCTCTATGAGTGTGGGAACAATATTTCCAGGGTGGGCATAATGAAAACCCCGCCCCCCTTTTTTCCCCTATATGGTTGCAACGCCCCTAAAAGGGTGTGTTCGAGATGGCTCCACATCTGGAATTTTTTTTCTCATGAATATTAACGTCTGTGGGACGTTTTATTCGTTCATGAAATATGGGCACAATGTTTTCCAAAGTGGGCATAATAATTAAACCCCCCCTTTTCTTGTAATGGCTGCCACGCCCCTAAAAAGGTACTTTTGTGGTGGCTCCGAATCTGGAAAACACTAATAATCTATATAATTATGTCTTTGTGAAGTTTCCTGCTTTTGTAACAAGTGGGAAAAACCATTTTTACTGCGGGCACGACAAGTCCCGCCCTCTTTTTTTAAATGGATGCCACGCCCCTAAAAGGGTAAATTTGCGATGGCTCCACATCTAAAACATTTTCTCGCATGAATATAAACATCTGTGCCAAGTTTCACGCTTTTATGCAAAAGTGCACAATTTTTTCACATATCCGCTGGACTATATGCAAATAGCCGTACAAAAGCCGTACAAAATTTCTAGGTCTCCATAGGTTTGTGCACAAACATGGATGTGCCCAGCAGGCATTACTCTGCACACGAAGTTAGCGCTCTAGTAATTTAATATAGCTGTATGGGAACAGCCAACATAGGGCTGGATAGCTCAGTTGGTAGAGTATCGGAAAAGGCAATCCGCTGTTGGGAAGTGAAATGTTTAATATGTATTATGTTTATGTTATGTAATGATTGTATTGGTTGGCACAATGGTAATTTTCCTCGCCTTCCACCACTATGGCCCAGGGTCGATTCCTACCCAGTCACTACCTGATTCTGTAGGTTTCCCCATGATATTCTTCTGGGGTTTTCCTCCAACCTCTAAAACTGTAATTTCTTCATAACGCGTTTCTTCAGGCTTCCGAGCTACAGTGCCTGGGGCACTTTTAAGGAATCTTCGGTTTCACATCCAGAAATAAATCATACGAACAATACTTTGTTTCTTAATGCGTCCAGTGCCATTGGCAATTTATTAAACTTGTGTAAATATTTTGGGGTCAGAGCTGGCTATTGACTGACTTCAGTCTATAGACTCGATGCAGAAGTACCCTCTCAACGGTTATAAAATAGAGAGCTTTGGGAGACCACTGGGAGGGACTTGCATGCAAAGCCAACAGTGGCTGACGCTCACGCAAAGATGCTACAAGTTTGTGTGCTTCTGTTTGTGTAAAGTTAATCTTGGTACTTTGTGTTATGCACAAAAAAGTGCATGTAAGCACTTTGTGCCAGCGAGTGCTCTCACGCGTGGTGACGAAGCGGCATCTTCTCTTCGAGCACGGAGTCCTTAATTCCTGCTGGTAACAATTTAAAGCTGATGTTTTCTTTTCAAAAACAGACACAAATTTAGTAGCATTATACCTGCAAGCTGCCCTTGGCACAATATGTCATCAGGATACAGATATGCGGTCGGTCCACACAGGCTCCTACGAACTGGCAAACGTTGTCGTGGCGAACATCGCGCATCTAAACAAACAAAAGATGAAACGAATAAAAACTGCTGCAAACTGCTTTCTGACTGTATTGACCTGAAATATACAATTCAAATTTGTTTTAAGTGGCCTGAAGTTCGGATCTTAAGATTTTCCTCAGAAGATTCTCAATTACACATCAATTCATTACGAGACTTGGATAAGGTCTTAAACGTCAGTATACCGGTACACATTACATTTTCACAATGACATAGTTTTAGATGTTTCATTTGTTTTAACTTCACTCAATCTAAAACTTTACCCCATGAATGTGGCTCAAATACTGGACTTCCTCCGTATAGAGAACCACACAGCGGCTTTCACTGCATTGTGGAAAACTCGGTTGCTAGGTGTGGCAGAAGTCAAGATTAGGACAATTTTGTCACTTGGAAATATCACCCAGGTAGATCACCAGGTAAATCACTTCAAAATGTGATATTTCTTCTGTTTGTATATTTCTTTTGCTTTTATCCAGTAATCAAGTTGGTGTATACTTGCTTTTTGCGGGAGGCACCTGAAAAATACATATCAAATCCTTTGTGGTAAAAAGGACCCATGTAAACTGGCCAAAGCGCACAGCCAGACGACCTTGGACACATAGAGATAAGAGCTCCTGGGCTCTGTGTATATACAGTAGCGCTGCCTAGCACGTGTACAATAAACAGAACCTACGCGCTGAGCCATTGAGCAACGGCAAATTTTATTGGAGTTTAGATGTACAATTCTTTAGTAAATGAATACACGCGAGCCTAAACCTTAACCAATCACAATAAGGGTTATATTGTTGGAAAGCTGACGAGACGAAGAAAAATGACTCGAGAAATCTAAGCTCCCAGGTGGCGCTAATAACATTATTATGATGTTAATGGACCAGTTTTTGGCTGAACGCGTGGTTTACACACAAAACAGGGAGATTTTTGACTGAAAATGCAATGTTTAACATCAATTCGCGAGTGAAACTCAGTGTTTTATTCAGTTTTTTTTCATTTTCTGAAAGAGTATATTGTTAGGGTCACACTGTAGTGAGATCTAAGGTATACCCTGTCCAGGACTGACCCTGTCGAATGATGAAGTGGTGGCGACAGATGTGAAAAAAAAGGCCAGTTTTTAATGACTTCTTCGCCGCGTTCTCTCATAGAGGTTGCACATAAAAACCAGCCCGGTGGGTTAGTTCCCCGAAGGAATTCATATGGATTTCCAAATAGAATTGATAATTTCTTAGCATTACTTTAGTTATGATCTTTCAAATGAGACATTGCACACAAAACATCGGTCCATGACAAGTAATCAAGTAATTAATTTCAACTTTTGAATTAAGAGCGGGATGCTCCTAATTCGTTCTGAATGGCATGCGCAATTTCTGAACTGGAGCGCGCCATTTAAAACCAATTTTTGAAACTGTATAAAGGCCTGCAAAAACAAACAAGCAAATTTATTATTAATCTAAATTTCAGTCAGAAAAGAAAATCAACATTTTGAAAAAGCACGTTTATACCAATGGCATCGTTAGACTGCTTTCATTTTATCAAAAATGTGACTTATTTAACATACCGCCTTCAGTTCCTTTCGGACCTCCCTGGTGATATCGATGTGATTCTTGTTGACGGCTTTAATGGCGCAAACATTTCCCTACAAAGAAATCGAGAAAGAGAGACATTTCAAAGAACATACAAGGCTTGCCTAGAGTCGAGCTAGACCTAGAGTCTCAATCATCTCAGCGGCACTGTCCGTAATAGTCAGTCCGTCAGTGACTCAGTCAGTCAGAAGACAACAGGTTGACCCTTTCAGGGAAAGAATGTAGTATCCAGACGCCACTTCAGTGATTGTGTACAAACTCTACTCTTCAATGCGTTGCTGAAGGCACCTGATGACGCTCACACGAAAATGTTACCGCTTTATGCAGATTTAGAATAAAATTAGTCATGCCTGATTCACGCCATTCACGTGTAAACAAGTACGCTCACTTAATAGTACGTGTCTAACTGTTTGTTCCCAAGAGTCCATGGTCTTTTCAGAGTGATGAAAAGTTAACTGCAAATCCGTTCAACTTACGCGATAGGTGCCGATCCTGGCGAAGATCTGCTGGGTCTCCTGATTGGTCATGACGGATATCGTGCTCATGACCTGCCAAGGAATACAAGATAGGAAATCATCCATAAAATCAAATAGTGGGGGGCGGGGGGCTAATACCATCTGCAGATGGGGGGCCGTTCAAAACAGACGAGTATGCACACTAACGAACAATATATAACGATATTCAGGGCGACACATGCACTCGTAATGGCCGCTGCCTCAAACAGGGCACAACTTTTTTTGTAAAAAGGCCACATATTTGGAAAGAAAGGCAGTCGTTGGTGAAAAAAAGGAAACTTTACAAAATATTGTGCTCCCCCCCCCCCCCCCGGCTAGGGTCACAAACCCTCCCCACGCTCCCCCAATGGAGGTCAGTTGACAGAATATATTTCAAATTACCATGCTCTTCATGGAGATTCCAGACTTGTTGGTATCACCACCCCGAGCTTGGACATCTTCAAAGTCAATCTTCCACACCAAGCTGTCCAGCTCACCCTCGTACTTGCGTTTCCTGTAATATAGACACTCACATGTTTAACATACAGAGTTGTAATGAGTCACTGGGTTTTGTGACTCGAGTCAAGTCATTTTTGGTACAGTCCATCATTTGTAATTTGTGTATTATGTTTGTTTGAAGCAACAACAGTGCTGAAAATCTAAAGAAGGGTGCTGAACAAAACCTGAGGAAGTTTCAGCTCAGTGAATACTGTACAGTCTGAGAAAACAATATCTTAGGATCTTGATTTCAAAACAAATGTTGCTGAGTCTGTTTTGAACTGGGCCTGAATTTATAGCGTCCAAAAACACGTTCTCACTAAGCCGATTGCATCTACGCGATGTCGCGCACTGAACCAATGAATTATAGCAACCGCGCGCGCGTAAGCATCGTGTCAACCGTTACTTGCGCTTTGCCGAATTAAAAACAAACTAATAACGGAAAAATGAGCTGCCTGTCCGTAAAGTGGACTAAAATTAGGCATAAAACAAGGTGTCTGTTAATTGGCCTAATTAGTAAAGGGCCACCTAACGTGGGAGACTTGAAAAAGTTCAAGAACCCCCTTCCTCCCCCCTGAAATGCTTGCAATAATTATGTCAATGTCAAAACGTTTTCTTTCCATTCATTTTCTTTCCGATTATGTTGGGAATTTCTTTGAACTTTTTCATGTCTCCCATGTTAGGCACCCCTTCACTAATTAGGCCAATTAAAGGTATAGTCCATCATTTGTAATTTGTGCATTTTGTTCGTTTGAAGCAACCAAAGGGCTCAATATCTGAAGAAGGGTGCTGAACAACTAACCTAATGAAGTTTCAGCTCAGCTTCAGCTGCATTTTTTTGAGAAAAACAACATTCTAGGATCTCGATTTCAAATCAAAAGTTGCTGAATCATGTTTTGAATTGGGCCTGAATCCAGCGTCCGAGACACGTCCTCACAGAGCCGATTGCAGCTACGCGATGTCACGCACCAATCCGACGAATTACAGCAACCACGCACGTGTGTGCGTCGTGCCAATGCTTGCGCGCGCTTCGCCGAATAACAAAATGCACTAACTTAAATTTCCTATGGTGCTTCTTAAGACGCACCGTTGGAAAGGCCTTCTTTCATTGATTTCTTCAAAATGACAGCTTGCCAGAAAGAATCATTTCACAGGGAGTTTAGTCCCCTTACTATCTTTCAACCAAGTATGTTTTTCAACAATAATTATGCCAGTTACTTTTTGGATAGCTGCAAATGATGGACTCTGGCTTTAACAGACACCTCATTTTACCCCGGTTTTGCTTGCTAAGCTAAATATCACAATGTTATCACTGTCCACATGATTTTCCATAAGGTTTTAATAGGGTAGGTAACTGTGCCAGTAAGCAACCGCGGTGAATTTGAAGCTCATCAAACAGGTTTGGCAAGACTACTTGATGATATCTGGAGACAAGGTAAATGCGCGCAATTTTAGGGTATATTAGTAGCCATTTTGCATCGTTACTATGTCTTCATTATTATTCGGTCACATATATGCTTAAGACAGTTTAAGTTAGGATGAGTAAGTCAAATCACAAAAATAAACTTTTCAAAAAATAAAAACATAAAAAATCTACCCAAATACGGGGAAAATATATTACACGGCAGGTATTCACAATAAATGCAAATAAGGTACATTTAGGGTGTCAGTAAGTTACCAAAAACTGATGTGAAATTATTTTCTAGAGAACTTTTCCACATTTGGCTGGCCTGCTATTGACTACGTACCTGTAGAAGTAGTATCCAACAGACAGAAACACGACTAGTAAGACCAGCGGTACGCCAACGCCAAAGTACAAGCCATATTCTGCAAGAGAGTTAACAAGAACATGATGAAGAATTTCCACATTAGAAAATATGCGCATGATTGATATTCCTTGAAATCGGTTGAGTTTGTTTTTGACATGTCTTTATTTGAACACAAATAATTTCAAAACCCTTTTGAAAATCATACCAATACTTATCAGGGAGCCTACCACTTGCTGTTTTCATCATGGTACTTCATCATTTTTATGTCAAAAAATTTGTACAGTGGTTGATATGGTTCACCGCAAAAAAAAAGTCCAAAAGATGTATGGCCTTTCTTCAAACTTCGACTTTCTTTGGGCTTTGGCCTCTAACTCTGAGTTTCACGAGTTTCCTTTGTAAACTCAAGTTCAGTAATGGGGCCATTTCTGCAGTAGTCACACCAAATCTCCTACATACTTGTAAAAATGTGAAATCTCTTAATTTGGATTATAAGTATTAAAGGATTTACAAATGTTCCCGAAGTTAGATCAGAGCCGAAGTTTGAAAAAAATGGCCCCCGAAGAAGAATGCTTACTTGGACAGAGTTCGCCATAGTATCCACAAACGGGCATGTCCAGTGGAGGGCCCATGTCATTAGGCCATTGGATATCCACATCGTAGTCGTCAGTCCTATTGAAAGTCTGTTGGACAGAACAATAAATATCTGTAAAGTCTTTAAAGGAAGATACAACATTTGCAAACATGAAAAAATGAAATGATCAAATTATCAAGAAATACCTTACTGGATTGTTAGGGAATGACAGTCTAAAGCATCCTGTAAAATTGTGGCTCCTGGTGTGCTGACATTTTCAAGAAAAATTGTATTTTTCCAACGCTGGTTAGAGAAAACTGTGTTTTTTTCAAAGACTGCTCCTATTTTTTTCATATTAAGTTCTTCCGCATTTCCATTGCACTTGATAACACACCTGTGAAGGGGTACAAGCCTGCTAGACTGATTCTCCCCAAACTCTTTAAATTGCTCAGAGTTTTATCTTAAGTGGGGTCAGGAAACCAGACTACGAGAGCATTATTGGTTTTCTTGGTTTTTCTAGCATTTACAAGCCCAAAACGTGACACAAGTCAGTGTAACAATATTTGCTATAACATACTATTCCTCCAAATCCATTTATTTCTGAAAATTGCAACAAAAGCAAATGTTGTACATTCATTTGATCATTTGCAGCTATCCAAAAAGTAACTGACAAAATTATTGTTGAAGAGCATACTTGGTTTAAAGATAGTAATGGCACTATGACTCCCTGTAAAATTATTCTTTCTGGCATGCTGTCATTTTAAAGAAAACAATAAAAGAAGGCCATTTCCTCAGATGAGTCAAGTGACACATTTTTGGAAATTTCTGTTAGTATTTTTTTTTAATTTGGCAAAGCCGTGAATGGGTGCATGCAAGCATTGACACGAAGCACATGCGCACGCGGTTGCTATAATTAATCGGTTCAGTCTGTATCATCACGTAGCTGCAATCAGCTGAATGAGAACGTGTCCTGGATGCTGATTTCAGGCGCAATTCAAAACGTGACTCTGCAACTTTTGAACTGAAATTGAGATCCTAGAATATTGTTTTCTCGGAATATACAGCATTTAGGAGCTAAAGCTTCATCAGGTTAGTTGTTAAGCACCCTTACTTAGCCTCAAATACAAAACGTATCAATACTTATGGAAACGGCAGCTTATAGCTCACTAGATATAGCCTAGCTACAAATATAATGTTAGTTCACAATTCTATGGAAATTGATCAGACCAATCCAGACGCAACGGTAGTTGCGGTTATTTGCGTGGTCAGAAATACACCAAATAAGCAAGATTTGTGATGCGATCAAGCTATTAGTCGACCCTGGTCAAAAAAAAATTTATAACAGATTTGAAAAGAGCACAATCTCAGCATTACTGCTGTGAAAACCGCATGCTTGTACCATCTTTAGTTCAAAAATTATGGAAGTCGGAACACCAAGAGATGTGATGAAGTGATGTGATGAAGTGGCCCTAGTTTGGCCTATATCTCCAAATGAAAATTCCCGACAAACGACTCATGTAGCTTGATCACATCACATTTATTCCTACCCATTGCCCCTCGATGGTTCGGATGTATTCTCCCACTCCAATCATTCCTGGGTAGCCAGGTATCAGGCCCGAGTCAGCTTTCTGCAACTTATTCATATCCAGTAGCAGGAACCTAGACACACCGTCCCCCTGATGGTCTATCTGGTTGTTCAGCATGGAAATACCTGCAACAGAAAGTCTTGGCTGTTAAAAAGCTCTAATGAAATTATTCTATTTACTAGGTGACACACCTATGTTCCGACACACACCCTAACCCTAAGCCTAACCCTAACCAGGACATAGGAGTGTTGGAACATAGGGGTGTCGGTTATTATGTACTAATCGTATACTACGTCGATGTGCGACATACAAGCAATTTTAGAGCTAATATTACACAAGTTGGGAAAAATACAGTGTATACATTTATGTACATTCTTTTAAAATCTATATGCACTGGGATAAATTATTGGCGGAGGGCCATCACCATTGGTACCTCCCCCTAAAACTTATGGGGGGGGGTAGGTGTGGAAGGGGGACATATCTGCCCCGCATCGTTGACCATGATGTCACATAATCACTGTGATCACTGTCACTTTTTTATAATAATTTATTTTTTAATTAGTGCATCAGTATTGAAGCTCAAGGGGCTACATCATTAATATTACCCTGCTTATTGGGCTAATGAACATTCCAAAGACAATCTCAGCTCCCTGGGGAGTATACAGCTCGATGCTGCCATTTCGGCGCAAAGCAGCTAAAATTAATCACAATAACCATCTCTGCCCTCACAGGTTACCCATTTACTCCTGGGTGGAGAGAAGCAATGAGTGACAAAGTGCCTTGCCCAAGGGCACAGGCACCATAACCCCAGGCTGGACTCGCACCCACAACCTGCAGAATTACCCGCAGACCACGAATTCAATGCTACTACGAGGCCACGGTACTTACTCTGATAGGCCTTGTTTAAGGTGTGGCTGACAACCTTCTGACCATCAAATGGGTCCTCTCCGGCTTCTAGCGTCGCCTGTAAGGCTTCAGCAAAGAGGATGGTAGCATCGTACAGGAACGCAGCAAAGGTGTGGAACTGTGGACACAACGATGGGACATATAAATTCCTGGTCGACCAGCGTTAAAAATTGATACAAAAATACCAGTTTTCTTGAAAATGACAGCACGCCACGATTTTATAGGATAGACTGTTATTCACTAACAGTCCAGTAAGGTATTTTCCAATAGTTTGGTGCTTTTGTTTTTCGATGTTTGCAAATGTTGTATGTTCCCTTTATACAATATAAATATTGTCCATGTTTTTCCAGACAACAGAGGGCGCTGTTGCAGTGATGTCATTTCAGGAAGACACCGTTTAGTTTAGGGGTTTTTCTGTTCAAATTGTGAACCCAAAAATTAGCTCATTGAAAACATCTGTGAGAAAGTTTGCTCATTGGCTTAATTACTGCCCTGTACTGATACAACAAATTACCAAAGAAAAGACAATTTACAACAGCAAAATATCCAAATTTCTGGCAAATTTGGTGCTGAAATAGCTGTAACAATGAGAGTTTCTGACTGAAATGACACCGCACTACTGCTCATGAATATGTAAATTTTCATTAATATAAAAACGAAAAAGGCACAAAAATACCCTTGAAAATTGCAAAATAAAATTGAAAATAAGGTTGAATAAGGCACAATAAAGATGTATTACAATTGTATGGGGAATCATAGCTGGCTTGTGGACCAACTAAATTTGGTGAATTGGGGGCAGTATTTGAAGAAAATGTCAGTTTTTTTTTCTAATGATGGTCAGCCGACCATCGTTGGAAATGGATACAAAAATTCCACTTTTCAAAAAAAGACACACACCAGGTACTGTGATTTCACAGGATGCTTAATTGAGACCATTTTTCACAAACAGTCAAATTGAAGTTAGGTATTTCATTACAATTTGGCAGTTTTGCTTTTTGAAGTTTGCAAATGTTGTATATTGTCTTTAATTTAATTTCATCAAGCATACAGTACAGGGCCTTTACGTATTTTTTTCTGAGTGATGAGGCTAGTTTTGTATATTTTTGACTTACGTATCTGCCAGTTCCGAAGAATGGAGCGAGTTGAACAGTATCCTTGACGTTCCACGCCCAGTCCTTGTACAAATAGGTCTTCTTGGGTCCTTTAGGCGTTAAGATCATGACCGACTCGTATGCCTTGATGGCCTTCTCGTCTTCATAGGTACCCCAGCCAAGAACTATGTATGACAAACAAAAAACGGTTACGTCTCGATAGTCGGAATTACCATTGGTTCGAAGTCCCATTGGTCCGAAGTCCCATTGGTCCGAAGACCCATAGGTCCGAAGTGAAATGCGCCACGTTACTATCGCCTTCTTCGTTTACGGTTTTGTCGTCATCGTCGTCCAATAATTAACCTCATATCAAAACCCTGCTCATTTGCCACTTTTTTGATTGCCTTTTCGCCAAAAAGAATTGGCGTATTGCCCCGGGTGTTTAGATTTTAGAGGGAAATCAGTACGTCAGCGGCGCAATAAAACATCAGCACGTGCGTTTACACGCTTGCTTTGTGGTGGCGTTACCATTCAGCACTCCAGACTCAAGAACCATTAAAGTGACATTAATAAGGTCTGGGTGCCAGACAAGGAAATGTATGAAGCTCCCGGATGTCCGCGCTCACCTTACACAAAAATTCCGCGAGCGTGTTGATACGGGCCCCTCTTTACTTTCGATCAAATGAGAGTCAAGGGTGTTTTTATAATTAAAAAATGACCTTTTCAACCTGAAACAGACTTCTCTTAATTTTAAACAGTTTTTTGGGGGTAGGAATAACAATTTTGGTACGCGGTTTACGGTTATTCCAGGCTCGATTCGGCTGCCCACGTTCACGGTACATTGCGGTGGTCGCCACCTTCAATTTATTTTCTTGTTACGTTTTGTCGTTTTGTTTATTTCTGGGACTTGTTCGAGTGCGGCTGTAGACCACTCCTTTTTATAGCTCCATGGTTAGGCAAATCCCTGTACTACTTTGGGCCAAGGACCTCTTAATGTGCGTTCTGTCAGCAAAACGAAAAAATCACACAATACAAGTTCGTTTCGCTGAAAGAACACCTTTTTGTGATCCGTGGACAGAACTTGAACGGTGGTTGTGTTTAAAATTCCGTAACTTGAAAATAAGTGATCTGAATGATTCTTGTACTAAAAGAAAGCTTATGAATTCATAAAAGAACTTCACTACAACAATGGTCCCGACATTTGGGTTTCGGATGTTTTTTTTACTTATCCTGTATAGTATTTATAAAATATATATCTAAAACAGTAAAACATGAGACACCTAAAAAATTGAATTAAATAAAACACACAATAATTATAAAAAGCAACAAACAAATACGAGCATACACACCTTTTGGTCAAGCATTATACTAAGTGGTTACATAATTGTATTATTCTGGTATGGAAATAAATGTTCTGTTGATTAAATGTTCTGTTGAATAAATGTTCTGTTGATATATTTGGAGACATCAGTAATTATGGTTATAGACCAGGGGCCAATTTCATAGAGCTGCTTAAGCACAAAATTTGCTGAATTAAGCACACAAAAAAACCAGGTTCCCAACCAAAACTCCATGCGATTGTAGTAAACAACAGCTAAATACCAGTCACAAGCAAAGTTCATCGCATGGAGTTTGGGCCAGTAACCTGATTATAATAAGCGAGTTTTTTTTGTTTGCTTAAGCAAATTTTGTGCTTAAGCAGCTCTATGAAATTGGTCCCTGCTTAGGTTACTTACATTTCATGCTATGCCATTCCTGCGTGGTGCGCATCTTGTGGTCTATGGCCGTTCCAAGGGTCACATATTCCCCGCTATTCAAGCCTTGATCGTAACCGGCGATGGCGAAACTGCGCAACTCGTATATTTCCCCAAGAAAGACGTAGACTGAAAAAAAAATGGGAAAACAAATTTATTTTGTAACCAACCACAATAAGAAACTGTAAGTTTATTTTGTGTATTTAGTGAAGGCCCGTAAAAGTGTGTCAATACGCAGATTTCTCAAAATTAGGGATACATGTGGACATGATTTTTGGATATTCCTGAACTACAAGATCTTGCTGGTATATGGTGGAGACGGCGTTGGAAATAAAGCCTAAACTAAGAAATGGCAGCCTTTCACAGAAAAATGGTCAAACTTGTGTATGAGATAATTATGGTAATCGTTATGGCAGTTCTTTGTGCACGCCGTGCTATTGTTTTGATCATATTTCATACACGCGTGTGGACAAATAGGTTTTCTGACCATTTTTCTGTAAATGGCTGCCATGTTTTAATTTAGGCTTTAATTCGAACGCCGCTTTCACCATATTCCACCAAGAGCTTTTTTCTTTAGGAATATCTTAAAACAATTTCAACATGCCTCCTCAAATTTGTTTCAAACGAAAATGACAGATGATATAATCTACCTGTAACACGCTTATACTAAGATTTATAGGCCTATTTTTATGGAATTCCATCTCTGCCAAGTTACACGGCGCATGTTTGGGAGATCCAAGCAAGCCTCCCAAACATGCGCCGTCGACGGCGCATTGTCGCGTCGTGCCGTCGCATAGTCGCGTCGTGCCGTCGCGTCGTGCCGTCGCATTGTTTTGTACTGTTTGTATAGGGCCGTCGCATAGTCGCGTCGTGCCGTCGCATAGTCGCGTCGTGCCGTCGCATAGTCGCGTCGTGCCGTCGCATAGTCGCATAGTCGCATAGTCGCATTGTCGCATAGTCGCATAGTCGCATTGTCGCATTGTCGCATAGTCGCATAGTCGCATAGTCGCATAGTCGCATTGTCGCATAGTCGCATAGTCGCATTGTCGCATAGTCGCATAGTCGCATTGTCGCATTGTCGCATAGTCGCATAGTCGCATAGTCGCATAGTCGCATAGTCGCATAGTCGCATTGTCGCATTTTTGGCAGGGAGGGATTGGGCAAACACTTTTTCTTGCACCTCTTGATTTAATTTGATTATCTTACGTTTTTAAAAAGGACTGTTTTTCTCAAACATTATTTTTCATCATAAATTACCAGCAACGAAGACCATGTCGAATCTCTAAAATGCCACAAATTTCAGGATAGGTGTAACCAGCTGCAAAGTAATGGCAGATCAGATCATACCCTGGGAATTACATGTAAGTGAAAATATGTAACATTCATAGACACTAGGTCAAATGGAAAACATCATTGTAGCTCAAGTTCAAATATAAGAACATAGGCCTATGTCCTAACTAAAGCTTATTTTTTTTTATAATTAGGTCCATAGCTTTTCAACATTTCTGCAACATATACAAAGAAAATACATAGAAACAGGATGCAACATTAAACATAGTTCTGAGAAGCTACAATTTATTCTTTTCTCTTCTGGATTCTAACCCTGATTATTCTAGTATTGAGTCGGTCGGAGCTGTTGAATTTGACATGCTCACTCATAGTCATAGACATGCCCAATGAAAACTTTCACTCAAGAGAGAAACATTGAGAAGCCAAACTGACCAATCAGGTGCCAGAATTCCATTTTGTGACATCACATCCGACCGATAATAGTAATAGTTACAACTACAACAAGTCAATTAAAAAATATTTATTCACAAATTAACAGTCGGAGGGGGCAGGCTATCGTTTAAATATGGAAATGAAAGTACGGTGGACCGTGTCCAATACTCTAGTAGTGTGTATCTAGTGACGGGTGGGTCCTGCCGCGGTCATCTATTGTATTAATTATTAGTTCTGGATAGGAGCTATACCCTCCAATTGTTTAAAATATCGATACATTCGGGCGATTAACTATATAGCGTTAGGCCTAAGGCTTGCGGGTACATGCATTTCAAAAAAATACTGTTCTCTCGGCAACGCATAAAAGGATTCATTAATGTATACTCTGAAGATGTAAGCCTATTCATCTTTTGGCACGATTTCTAACTCGAAAGCAACTGGAATATGGGGAGGATGACCAAATTAGTTGCACCCAAACACCGCACAACAGCGCCCCCTTGGTGAAGCCCTGGAAAATTAATGAATGAAAATGCGACAATGCGACAATGCGACAATGCGACTATGCGACAATGCGACTATGCGACAATGCGACAATGCGACTATGCGACTATGCGACAATGCGACTATGCGACTATGCGACAATGCGACTATGCGACTATGCGACAATGCGACTATGCGACTATGCGACAATGCGACTATGCGACTATGCGACAATGCGACTATGCGACTATGCGACTATGCGACTATGCGACTATGCGACAATGCGACTATGCGACTATGCGACAATGCGACTATGCGACAATGCGACAATGCGCCGTGATCTCCCAAACATGCGCCGTGTAACTTGGCAGAGATGGAATTCCATATATTTTCTATACAAAAAAACGATGCTAGAAATGAATGAATCGGGAGATTACTTCGTGTGGTTTCCTTAGTGCGTCGAATGATGTCAGGGAAGGGGTCAGGTGTCGAGTCGTTGTAGGGTATGAAGCCGGACTGGAAGACCTCCTCGTGCTGTACGGTGATGTTGTTCTCCCTGAACTTAGCCGAGACAACGGTGTAGACCTGGTGCCAGGTTGAATGGTTGCGGAGAACTACGGTCACCTATAGAGGTTTTGGGATTGAAAAAAAAAATAACAAGCAAACACGATGTTGTTTCTAAAGGTTTATTTGATTTGGTGATAATTGTTGTGGTGTGGACGGGAGGGGGGGGGGTGCACATCTTAGGGTGCAGTGGGGCCAATTTTACGAAACTCGTCTTATCTTGTGACTCATCTTAGGACTTAAGACGAGTCCCCACTGGCTAAGATCGATCTTAGCTAAGACGCGTCTATTTAACTAAACCCATCTCGACCAATTGACGCATACTACTCAATACATTTCACACATAAGATAGGTCTACCACAAGATATAGAGTCATTCTTGTTCCCCGTTTCATCACTCTATTTTTAAAAGTTAACTAGGTGTTGCCGTATAATTGAAGTTTATAAACTACAACTCTGGAGAGCGCAGGCCGACACTCGTCTTTAATGGCAATGATTTCCAGACATGTACAAATTATGCACAAGATGAAAGGACAGGAAGAAATGAATTATATAAATCCAGAAAGCAAACCTGTATCAAATTGTGTCTAATTTTATTGACTGTTTACGACAAATTATTAGGTCTGTTTATTCAAAACACTGGCAAGATTGCCTCACATGCACATTTTTGTTAATGAGACCCTCTATAAAAGAATTATATGCGGACTAGTACAAAATCCGCGGGCCAGTTAAGAGGCTGTTTTGGTAGCCCGGCTGCCTAATGAAAATAAAGTTAGGTCGAACCCTGTATTGTGGATAATTCATACCTGATCCCAGTCAAACATCTGCATGGTAATGATCAGCGCATCGGCAACACGCGTACTTGGTGGTAGGGTCCGCATGTAGGTAGGATACACCTCCTTGTTAGACACAGCAGCTTCGTCACATCCCTGCAAACGTGAAAACCCACCAGATGCTGTAACATATCTCAAAATCAATTAAGGTATAAACGTCTCTTAGAACATAGGCCGAAGAAGCGTACATGAAAATGGTGATATCGTTACAGTCACGGGTGTAGGGGGGGTGTGGGGGGTGGTAGGGGGGTCACACCACCACCCACCCCCCCCCACCCCCCCCCCCCCGCCCATTAGTAAGTTTTGTCGGCAAAATCAGGGTGCTGTCGGCAAAATAGAAAATGAAGAATGGAGAAGGTAGGGGAAAGGAAGAGGGAAGAAGAAAAAATGCAGAATGTAAGCAATAAACACTGCTGCTCAAAACCACGCGAAGCTAAAATCCGGTTCTGCAACCCATGGCAAAAGAGTGTACGTTCTGTCATGTCGGCACGAGCTGCCGCGCGAGGTCGCTTCATATACGGCGGTTGACAGCTACAGTTGTGCAAAACACAAGCACGTGCTCGCTCGCAGGCAGTTACGAATTGAGCTGATTCTTTGTGAGGTCAATAAAAATAAAAAAATGTTTAGCGTCCCCGCCCGCTTCCTTTTTGGAGGCCACCTCCTTTTAATTTTTTTTAACCGAAAAAAGGATACATTTTAAACAGTGACATCATTTGGGCCTTTTGGTCTGTTGCATCTAGCCCATATAGACCTTAAGCTGGTATGTCATTTCCCGAGTCCAAGTGGCGGCCATTAATACAAAGTTGGCGACCATCTTGAAAAATAGCCAGGGTCCAACTGCCATTTTGGAGGGAAAACGGGGGCCACCTCCTCCCTTTTTTTCAAAAAGGCAGGACGCTTTAACATTTTTTTTATTTGGCCTAACGACTCTAAGAGGAAAATCTCGAAAGAGAGTCGATACAGTTTTGATGTGATGTTTGTGATGTAATAATCGTATCCACTTTGAAGACCCGACCCCATCTAAACACGAGCACATTTCATTCAAAAAAAAATCGGGGGAAAGTTCCCAGGAAACGCCTCACATCGCACCACAGAGCATCTAGAATCCAATAATTTCCCGGGGCCCTTAATAAGCGGGCACCCGACCCCACGGCTTCACGCTCCGTGCTCGCATATAAAAAGTTCCAATATAGGATTTAAAGACCCCCCTCCAGTGTATTTGCTGCCACCACGCGTCTCACAAGTCTCCCATTGCATTTAATTTTAAATCTTCAAGACCGACGACTCAAGTCTCTTACGTAATCGAAGAGTGGGAAGTTGATAGCGCCGGCAAGTCGAGCCTCGTAGTCGCATGAGCAGCCTGGACCGATGACGCCGACAAATCCACGCGCCCAGTAGTCGGCGACGGCCTCCATTCCTACATTGATGTTGCACTGGGAGTCCGTCCATTCCCACGACAAAGTGTGGCCTAAAGAATCCAAATAATTTTTAATTTTCTATTTTTCGAGCAATGCAAACGTCATTCGTTTTAAATGAGACGTCCAACCAAGTTATTCCGAATCATTTTTGGCCGAACAATAGGTTTTTTTTTCTGCGTAAGAGGCGCAAAGCAACCCAGAATAAGAGGTTTTTTTTTAGAGGGTTGTATGTAGACGGTAAAACAACAAAGGGATGTAGGTTATTTTTAGTTTAAATGAAACATGAAAATGGACACTTCAAATCTGTTGTAATGCGTGGGAGCGCAAAATACTACGGAAGCGTATTTAGGACATGACCGAAAATATTTTTTAGGCCCACTACTTAGCCCGGGCGGATTACTATTTCGCCCGGGCGGATTACTATTTCGCCCGGGCGGATTACTATTTCGCCCGGGCGGATTAGCATTTCGCCCAGGCGGATTACTATTCCGCCCGGGCGGATTACTATTCCGCCCGGGCGGATTACTAATTCGCCCGGGCAGACTACTAATTCGCCAAGGCAGATTACTAATTCTCCCGGCCGGGCAGACTACTTATTCGCCCGGGCGAATTAGTAATCCGCCCGGGCGAATTTTTTTTTTTTGGGTCATGTCCTATATACACTTCCGTAAAATACAATGCCGCGCGTATACCATCCGAGATTAGTCGTTAGCTACTCATTTGACGCTAGAGGGCGCTCTTAGCCCCCTTTTAACATTAAATATTAAAAAGATCCGTAGAGGGGAAAGAGGTGACTAGATTATCAGCGGGGCGATTAAAAAAATCGTATTCCTCTGGTTACATATTAGGTCTAACTTAGGCTATAGCCTAACTAGGCCTACATTTTTTCGTGAGTTTGTTTCTGCATTCAATAGGGGACGTTGAACAATAGAGGACAATAGGGTCCCCAATTCCCGAGAGGTCCCCAATTTACGATCGTGTACAAAACATATCTTCCTAAAAAGTTAAGTACAAACAAAAGGAGGGGGTCCCCGATTGCGGTCAAATACTCTTTGGTGTGTCTGTATGTTGGGGGTGTCCTCTGTTGGCCACCCCCCCCCCCCCCGATCATGTGGGCGATTGTGTAGTGTAGGGCCCCTCTTTAGTATTTATCAATAGAGACAAGGGTGTCTTTTATCATTAAAAAATTTTTTCAACCTAAAACAGTTTTCCTTTCATTCCAATGACGTCATTTTGTAATTTTGAACAGTTTCTTGCGGTCAAAAATGCGATTTTCTTGCGCGTTTTACGCTTGGTACGTGCCAGGTGAATCAACGCGATTTTGCGTGTTCACTGTGCGTCGCGGTGGCGCATGGCATGGTCACCATCTTTATTATCATGTTGCTTTTTGCCGTCGCTTTAGCTCAAACTTCCCCTCAACATTAGAAAACCCGCCCTCTATGCGGTTGGTTGGTACATGTACGTAATGTCGCTAACTAAGTTTGGCAAGTCCTAAAGTGGCTTTTTGGTTTCTTATCACAGTTAATAGATAGAGAACAGGGCCCTACACTACTTCTGTTCCGAAACATCCTCATCATTAAGCTTGGATATTTTTTCTATTTTAAGGACAAACACCAGCAATAAACATGATGAACCATTATCAACTATGACTTCCTATGCGATGGGCCCATAGTCTTTACTTGGTACTTGGTTGGTTTCCTCCTGAAACATCCTCTAGGGATCTTGACTAGGAGGTAGTCAAGATCCCTAGAGGATCCCCCGTCAGTCTTTGGCTGACAGGGGTGCGCTAAAGTAAAATGAAACATTCACATACAAAAAATTGAAAGATTTCATGTCAAGCTTGTTGTCAGGATTCTTGTTCACTTACCAGGCAAGAGGCTTGGACTTCGGTTTATATCGTCAACCGCTAACGGGAAAGCGCCGGCGATGGGATCTCCAATGGCCTGGAGATTGCCGTTCTGCGGGTCGGTGAATGGCACCAACAGGGCAATTTTGTACTCGGTACCATGCGAGACCCAGGCACCGGCCACCAAAATGATAGCCAGAAGCAGACGCCTCATTCTCGGGCACGGAACCGCCGATCAACAGCTCCGTCGAATCCTTGACAACCGTACTACAGAATCAGAGACAAAACGGCTCCAAACATTCTCCCCCAAAAATGATGATTCCTTGCAAGTCCCTGATGGACTCCCACCCTCCGTTGATTATTTTTTATTTTCAAAACAATCTTTGAAGATGGGAAACGCGCTCGGCGTTCTTTTTTTTACCCTGCTTGTTGTTGGATAGAACTACAGTGCGTCAACTTGCCCATGTCATGACAACGCGTCTTGGAGTTTCATAAACGCGCGCAACGCTTGTGTAGTGAACTCACAGGACTTTCTTTCACGCGGCGTGCCATGACAACGCGCCCATTATTCGCGCGCTCATCCGGTTGTTAGTGTGACGTCACTTCAGTTTAAAACCACGCCCACTGCACATAAAGTAGCATAGTAACCATTGGAATCGGAAGTTATTCGCAACTTGAGTATCCAATGGGAGCAAGTAATCAGTGGTGCGCGCGCGTGTATGACGAAGTCACTTCCATTATGGAGATCAATGGTCACTACCGACCCGGATACGCATTTTGACATCATAGTGACTGTATAAAACACAACACCCAACATTCCGATTTTTGTGTGTGGGTGGAAAACAAGATTTCTTATTATTAAACCGCATCCGATTTTTGTCTTTCAATATTTTCACGCACTATACGTATCTTTCCAGGACTCATTTCATGGCAGGGTGGGGGATCTACATGTATCTGCGTTTATTTCGATGTGAAAATCATCAAATCTTGACAAGCATAATTACGCACGGTCGGAATACCGAACTAGTTGGGAGGAGGTACCTATTTCATATTCTTATCTTGAAATTTATATTTCCTGATAAAAGGAGGCACTATCTCCGCAGAATGTATAGACACATACTGTTGGCATCTCTACTTTAATTCCGGGAATCTCTGTCTGTCTGTCTGTCTGTCTGTTCTGACCATACCACCCTTGTGGGGTGATGTTCCTTTCAGGACACATCACCCCACTTTTTTCACAATAGAAAAACATCACCCCAGAAGGGAATCTTTAGAAAAAGGGATAATGGGAACACAATGCTATCACCCCACAATTCAGTCTGACTGGAACGTCCGTCCGTCTGTCTGTCTGTCCGGTGATTATCTCCAGAACCGGGCACCGTATGGAGATGAAAATCGGCGGGCGTGTTGCTCGGGACAACAGAATGTGCAGTGTCGAGTTTGAAGTGGTTTGGACGAGCGGTTCTCGAAAAAGCTGCAAAAAAAGCAGTATTTTCTGAGCCTCAACGTGGCAGTATTATAGCCTAGAACATAACACCACGCACTGCCATTCTTTTCAATTGTTTACGTCATGTTTGAACAAGAACGCGCGTGCTCAATATGACGCAACAATGGAAAAAAAGGACGGGCACATCATGGGGTTCTTTTCAATTGTTTACTATACGTCATGTTCGAGCTAAAGCGCGCGTGCTCAATATGACGCAAACAGTGCAAAAAGGACGGGCACATTGTAGGGCGATAGCACTGCACACCATGTCTTCGTACGTGCATATACGTGAGTGGCATGCACGGGCACATGCATTTTGTAGTCAACTGAGCAACCATCACTGCACTGTATGTAGGCGGTCGACTGAGCAACTCCAATCATCCAAGATGGTATCGCCCTACAACTACGCCCTACAGTTGTAGGGCGATACCATATTGTCCGGTAGGGCTAAATATCAGTGCCAGGGGGGTGACGACATTTTGTGCGTTTAACTTGCGAGTGTGCGTACACACCATTGAATAATGTGCGTTGTTTGCACGAGCTGCAGTTCTCAACTGCCCCTTCCGAACACGCACATTTTCGACTGGCCCTGCACTAGTTTACGTTAAATGGCGATCGTGTAGTGTAGGCCCGTTTTAATTTATTTGACTTTTAATACCAAACTAGTTGGCGACATCCAGAGCATACAGGTGTGTCACAGATAGAGGGCAGGGTTTTGAAATTTTGAGGGATATATAGGGGTAAAATGACAAAACGCAACACGAAAATTAAGATGGCGATCACTACTCCGTGAACACTCAATACCGCACCGAGTTGCACGGCACCAACCGTAAACCTCGTACGAAAATCGCAATTTCTACCCCAAGAAACTGTTCAAAATTAGAAAAAAAGTGTCATTAAAATTGAGAGAAGTCTACTTTATGTTCAAAAGGTCATTTTGGATGATAAAAAACACCTTTGACTCTAATTTGATCAAACTAAAGAGGAGTCTACATAACACGATCGCCCGTATACGTGAATGTCAACGAGTAATGTTTACGATGTAAATCAAAAAATTGGCAGCTTTGATAAAACATATAATTAAACGCACTATATGCGCTTGCATAAATCAATTGGGGACATCGACGCTGGCGTCCCTCGCCCAAAATATTGGGAGGGGGGGGGGTTATAATCAAGTATCTTTGAACTAATTTGAAAACTATTTGAAATCAGTCAATTCAAGCGTAGAACTATTTTACAATTAAGATATCTCCGCCGTAATAAGTACAATGCAGGGCGAGTCAAAAACAAAAACATAACCCAAATGTCGGCACCATTATTTTAGTTAAGCTCTGCATGTAGCACTTTCAAAATCTAGGATATGAAAGCCCAATTCATAAGCTTTCTTTTAGTACAAGAATCATTCAAATCACTCATGTAATTTTCAAGTTACGGAATTGTATACACAACCACCATGTTAAAGTTCTGTCCACGGATCGAAAAACAGTGTTCTTTCAGCAAAACGAAAACAAATCACACAGGGAAGTATGTGAATTGTTTCGGATTCCGTAACTTGACAAGTACATGAGTGATTTGAATGATTCTTGTACTAAAAGAAAGCTTATGAATTTGGCTTTCATATCCTAGATTTTGAAAGTGCTACATCCAGTACTTCACTTAAACGATAGTCCCGACATTTGGTTTACGGGTGTGTTTTTTTACTCACCCTTTACATGATTACATTTAGTATGTCGGCATGTGCTAGTTGGCTGCTACTCAAAATGTAGTGAGGATATGCAGCAATTCGCCCTTTAATATAATTGTAACCTAATATTCAGGCATGGACGTCGATTGCTTGGGAGGTAATCAAAAATTGGACATTTTGCACGGAATAACTATGACGTCATGAACCTTCGATCTACCAAAAAATAAGATATTTATCTAAAATTGATTTCAAATATAGTATTCCAATGTAATTTCAAAGATACTTGATTATAATCAAATCAAACATTGAACATCCCCCCCCCCAAACAAAGAAAGTCACAAACAAACAACAAAGAAAGAAAGAAATCCAACACTCTATAAATTGAAAACCTTCATTTTGGTGAATTATCGTTGTCTTTGGTATATTAATTTCTTATTAACGTCTTTAAAATAGTCTATAAGTCAATTAATAATATAAAATAGAAAAAAAAAACACCAGGGAAATCTCAAATCATCGAGGAACATTAGGGAGCGTCTCATAAGTCGGGAACGTTCGCGGTCCAATGGAACGTTCCGTAGGAACGCCAGGCGTTCCAATGGGAACGTGCCGCATTCCCAATGGAACGCGGGTGCGTTCCACGCAATGAATGGAACGCACCGATCTGCGGTCCAGCTGGAACGGGGAGGGAACACCGTGTTCCCGGCGGAACGCTCCACGGATGGGTATTCGCGCTCGGGTATACGTGAGTACGTCCGTGCAGCAGGACCCGGAGTCAGAGTTTATGCTCAAACTCAGATTTTTGTCTGACAAAAATTATATCGTCAATAGTAAGCTCCGCTTTTATCCTTTTTTTATTTCGTAAAAGCATAGCATAGTACCATGCCAAAACATTCAGGCCCTCAAGTACATTTTATCAGCTGGGCTGTTTTCGAGATGAAGACTATAATTCTTGTTTGGAAATGATTTGTTTTTAATTCAAAATCCCTCACTCCTACGCTATTTTTGTCGGGTAATTTCAGTAAACCTATCACGTAGTGTTCAAGACAATTTTTGTCCTTGCATGCATTCCACAAACATGCGCCCTGTATCAATTGTAAACGAGAAAACACAATCACCGTAGCCATGTAAAAGTTCAGGGCGAAATTTCACCGAAGAACTTCACATCTGCCGTAACAATAGCCACTGCGTTTCGTAATCGATTATAATATTTAACAGAAATTCACTTAACATATTTCGAAATCCCCTCACCCCTCCTCTATCTACGACTTTTTGAGGAGATTCCCTTCATCTAGTACGCATTATCAAAGTATTATTTAAAGAAATATTGTTCTTGTGCAACATACTTTGACGTGAATACACACTCACCACAGCGTAGCGATTGCATGTGATGGTAGGTTCGGGGCTACCGACATTTCACCACAGAAACGATATTTACATCATTAGATTTACCAAGATTCCATCCGCATTAACGCTCACTCGTACCTTGTGTCGAACCTTTTACCCAAACCATCACAGAAATTTCACAATCACGTCCAAATATTACATATAAATCCTCAAAAACAGGCAAAACCTACCGTTCAGTGACGCACGCTTTGCCGGAGATCGCGACGCCATTTTTCCTGACGCAAAATGGGCTAATATTCGAAACTGGGCCATGGTATACGCGATTTGCTGGGAACGTTCCGCTGGAACGCGCAATAGAACGCGTGTGCCCGACCGTTCCGCTGGACCGTTCTCGCAAAGGGATTTCGCCGTTCCAAAAGAACGGTCCCGTGTTCCCAGTGGAACGCCGGAGCGTTCCGGTTTGGGAACACGCCGTTCCAATGAGAACGTTCCGAGCGTTCCAACTTATGAGACGCTCCCTTAAGTAAAATAAACATAAAATTTTGAATTTGCATCACTAAAACTCAACGAATCAGATGTCCTTAATTTAAGGGCATCACTTTTACTATAATATCATATAAAAACAGCAATATTGCTGTTATCTATGTCATACATTTAAAGGTAGAGTAGATAATTTTGTCATTATTTGTGAATTTTTTCTCCCGTTTGAAGAAAAAAAAAGTGCTCAAAACCTTAACAATGGTGCTTAACAACTAGCCGGATGATGCTGTTTATTCTGAGAAAACAATATTCTAGGATCTCGATTTGATTTCGAAAGTTGTCGAGTACTATTTTAAATTGCACCCGAAATCAGCGTCCGGGACACGTTCTCATTCAGCCGATGCACGGTGTCACGCAAGATGCGTCTTTAGACGCATCTCTCATAGTGATCTTCTTTTCTTGTTTTCTCCAAAATGACAGCATGCCAGAAGGAATAATTTCACAGAAAGTTTAGTGTCATTACTATATTTAAACCAAGTATGCTCTTCGACAACAATTTCGAAAATTAAGATGGCGATCACTACTCCGTGAACACTCAATACCGCACCGAGTTGCACGGCACCAACCGTAAACCTCGTACGAAAATCGCAATTTCTACCCCAAGAAACTGTTCAAAATTAGAAAAAAAGTGTCATTAAAACTGAGAGAAGTCTACTTTATGTTCAAAAGGTCATTTTGGATGATAAAAAACACCTTTGACTCTAATTTGATCAAACTAAAGAGGAGTCTACATAACACGATCGCCCGTATACGTGAATGTCAACGAGTAATGTTTACGATGTAAATCAAAAAATTGGCAGCTTTGATAAAACATATAATTACACGCACTATATGCGCTTGCATAAATCAATTGGACACATCGACGCTGGCGTCCCTCGCCCAAAATATTGGGAGGGGGGGGGGGGTTATAATCAAGTATCTTTGAACTAATTTGAAAACTATTTGAAATCAGTCAATTCAAGCGTAGAACTATTTTAAAATTAAGATATCTCCGCCGTAATAAGTACAATGCAGGGCGAGTCAAAAACAAAAACATAACCCAAATGTCGGCACCATTATTTTAGTTAAGCTCTGCATGTAGCACTTTCAAAATCTAGGATATGAAAGCCCAATTCATAAGCTTTCTTTTAGTACAAGAATCATTCAAATCACTCATGTAATTTTCAAGTTACGGAATTGTATACACAACCACCATGTTAAAGTTCTGTCCACAGATCGAAAAAAAGTGTTCTTTCAGCAAAACGAAAACAAATCACACAGGGAAGTATGTGAATTGTTTCGGATTCCGTAACTTGACAAGTACATGAGTGATTTGAATGATTCTTGTACTAAAAGAAAGCTTATGAATTTGGCTTTCATATCCTAGATTTTGAAAGTGCTACATCCAGTACTTCACTTAAACAATAGTCCCGACATTTGGTTTTCGGGTGTGTTTTTTTACTCACCCTTTACATGAATAAATTTAGTATGTCGGCATGTGCTAGTTGGCTGCTACTCAAAATGTAGTGAAGAATATGCAGCAATTCGCCCTTTAATATAATTGTAACCTAATATTCAGGCATGGACGTCGATTGCTCGGGAGGTAATCAAAAATTGGACATTTTGCACGGAATAACTATGACGTCATGAACCTTCGATCTACCAAAAAATAAGATATTTATCTAAAATTGATTTCAAATATAGTATTCCAATGTAATTTCAAAGATACTTGATTATAATCAAATCAAACATTGAACATCCCCCAAACAAAGAAAGTCACAAACAAACAACAAAGAAAGAAAGAAATCCAACACTCTATAAATTGAAAACCTTCATTTTGGTGAATTATCGTTGTCTTTGGTATATTAATTTCTTATTAACGTCTTTAAAATAGTCTATAAGTCAATTAATAATATAAAATAGAAAAAAAAAACACCAGGGAAATCTCAAATCATCGAGGAACATTAAGTAAAATAAACATAAAATTTTGAATTTGCATCACTAAAACTCAACGAATCAGATGTCCTTAATTTAAGGGCATCACTTTTACTATAATATCATATAAAAACAGTAATATTGCTGTTATCTATGTCATACATTTAAAGGTAGAGTAGATAATTTTGTCATTATTTGTGAATTTTTTCTCCCGTTTGAAGAAAAAAAAAGTGCTCAAAACCTTAACAATGGTGCTTAACAACTAGCCGGATGATGCTGTTTATTCTGAGAAAACAATATTCTAGGATCTCGATTTGATTTCAAAAGTTGTCGAGTACTATTTTAAATTGCACCCGAAATCAGCGTCCGGGACACGTTCTCATTCAGCCGATGCACGGTGTCACGCAAGATGCGTCTTTAGACGCATCTCTCATAGTGATCTTCTTTCCTTGTTTTCTCCAAAATGACAGCATGCCAGAAGGAATAATTTCACAGGAAGTTTAGTGTCATTACTATATTTAAACCAAGTATGCTCTTCGACAACAATTTCGTCAGTTACTTTTTGGATAGCTGCAAAAATGATCTACTCTACCTTTAACTATAGCTTCACAAAATTACTCTGGACCGACGTCTACTTCAGGGTTATAATTTTGCCGATTTACTATAAACTCTTTACGACTATTTTTGTGTGATTCATGAGAATAATTATGTGCTAAATGTCTTCATTAATACTTATGACTTAACTTTTTAAATGCTCTCATCTGAAATTAAAAGTTAAGTATGTTTGAGTTTTATAACCAAATACAATTATCCAATAACAAAAATTATTGTGCTTTAATAACATTACAAGGATAAATCCACCAAAACAGTGCAGAAACAATTTTATTGTTGAGAAAAATATGTATCAGTTAATAATCACGTTAGGTAAAAGGTGGAGAAACAAAATCCGAAAAAGTATGAAAAGTACAAATCGCATTAGAAAGGGGCAGAAACCATAAAATAACACTGCGAAAAGTGATAATTATCAAATCTAAAGCAAAGCATGCATCAGAAACAATAACGGAAATGTCTCAACAAATAATCGAAAGAATGCAGATGCATATTAATGACAAAGTAACGAGAAATAAACAGATTTAAACAATGATACCCCCCCCCCAAAAAAAGGGTGCTTATCAATATAAAGTCTGCAGTCTGCGGTTATACAGGGTGAGTAAAAGAAACAAAACCCAAATGTCGGGACCATTGTTTTAGTGAAGTTCTGCATGTAGCACTTTCAAAATCTACAATATGAAAGCTCAATTCATGAGCTTTCTTTTAGTACAAGAATCATTCAAATCACTCATGTATTTTTTAAGTTACGGACTTTAAAACACAGCCACAGTTTTAAAGTTCTGTCCACAGATCAAAAAGGTAAGTGTTCTTTCAGCAAAACGAAAACAAATCGCATAGGGATGTGTGTGAATTATTTTCGGTTTGCTGGAAGAACCCACACCTTTTGTGTGATCCCTAGACAGAACTTTAAAACGGTGGTTGTGTTTAAAATTCTGCAACTTGAAAAGTACGTAAGTGATTCGAATGATTCTAGTACTAAAAGAAAGCTTATGAATTGGGCTTTCAATCCTCGATTTTGAAAGTGCTACATGCAGAACTTCAATAAAACAATAGTTCCAACATCTGGGTTTCGTGTTTTTTGACTCACCCTGTACAGGTTTACATGCACATCGCATGTGTACTTTTTTTTCTAAATTCCCATTGTGCCAAATTGAAAACTGAATGACGGAGGTGTACCTCTAAAATGAAAAAGGAAAATTCCTATTAAAAAATTAACCAACAAATTATTCAAAACGTGAATTCCTAAAAAGACAGAAAGAAAAGAGCTTCTGGTAAAACTGAATTTAGGAGAAAGCAAAACCCTTTGCCCCCCCCCCCCACCCCCACAAAAAATCCAGACAGGTATAATTTTACATAAAACTTTAATTTGATTTACTTTGGTAAATTCAGAATACCATCATATTAGCATATGTAAATACATGTAAATACAATTATTGTTAAGGGAATGAATGTGTGATTGGGAGGTATTCAACACTCTGATTAAGACCGGTTGGAGGCTGGATGCTGATTAGACGAGGGTAATTATTATCAACATCCAGACTACAACCGGCCTTAAACATAGTGTTTAATACCGACCAAGCACACATTTATTACCATTCATAAATACCTTTTAGGTCAAAAAATCAAAACTTTTTGTTCCACAATAGTAAAACAAAAGTCAAAAATTATAAATTTCCAACGATTTTGTCCAACAAAACATCCCTCTAGCTATACAATGGTAAGGCCCTCTGGTCAGCGGCGGCGGAACGGTTTTCGAACTGGGGGGAATCACCAAAATGGGGCACTTGCACATCTGTGCTGAAATGTTGACACGTTTTTTTCACCGGACACTTGGCCTCCGTAAAATCAAATGGTCTAATAATTATCTGAAATTTTAGGGCCAGTTTTGTTTTCATCTCGAGGGGCCACATTTATGCTCGAGGGGGCACATTTACGTATGCAAAAGGGGTAAGTGCCCGCCCAGCCCCCCCGGTTCCGCCGCCCCTGCCTCTGGTAAAACAACTCCTCATATGGAGATAGCAGTGCGTACTGCGTGATGTCGCGCAGAACGCAGATGTACCAGTGCAGTGTTAATTCAGGAATATGAAATACTGACTCACTGGTAGTACATGTATAACATGTATAAGCGAGGATTGTGATTTTCCTTGAAATCGGTTGAGTTTGTTTTGGACATGCCTTTATTTGGACACGAATAATTTCAAAACTTTTTAAATATCAAACCAATACTTGGCAGGGATAAATTTCAGATTTCAAGCTTTAATATGATGTAAAAATAATGGCGGTATGTGTTTCCTGCCAATGCTAGAGCCTCGCAAAAAAGTTGCGGGTATTTTGGGACGCACTGTACAACAAAAATAAAAATTCATTATAATTGATGACTGGATCTCATACTGGTACCTGTATTATGTTGCAATCTCACAAGTGATTTACGTACATGCATATGCATAGAATAATAAGCGACCAGCCATTACTGCGGTGGAACTACTGACCTGTTCAAAAAAGGCTGTCCATGTAAAGGTTTTTTTTTTGCTGGGATGAATTTATGCTGGTTACAGTTTTGATGTTGGTCCGATTGCTTGCAGCTCTGCGATGGACTGTCGAACGAGCTCTGTGGCCTCTAAGGAACATCCCCAGTGTAGTGTAATGCCAGAGCCTCCATGACCATAGTTGTACACAACCTGAAAAAAAGTACATTTAAAAGTCATTGGAAATAACACCATCATAACCATCACCATCTCAAAGGTAGGCAGGGGTCACGGAACCAGGAGGTAGGGAGGGCACATACCCCCCCCCTCCCCAATTTACCTAAGTGCCCTTCTGCGGACATAAATGTGCCCCCTCAAGCATAAATGTGCCCCCTTGATGAGATGAAAACAAAAAACTTGCCCTAAAATTTGGGATAATTTGTTTTTAGTAACCATTTCCCAAAATGGTATAAGAGAGTTCTGATATGAACAAGGAAAATGAAAACCAAGCCCCAAAACCCTTAAAACGCGCCCTGAAAATGGGCACATAATGCATAGTTTGCATAATGGCCGGTTTTGAAGAGCGCCCCCTATTTTCAAAGATGGTACCACCCCCCACCCCCACTAGTGTCTGGTAAAAAAAAAGTGTCGACATTTCAGCACGGATGTGCCCCCCCCCCAAAATGCCAGATACGCTTCTGCACCGACAGAAGATGCCTTTTACTGAGCAAGTGCTCCTTTTTGGTGATCCCCCCCCCCCCCCCCCCCCCGCAGTTTGAAAAACCATTCTGCAACTGAGGTAGACTAGATAATTTGTCATTTGTGCATTTGTTTCTTTTGAAGCAACAAAAAGGCTCAACATGTAAAGACAGGTGGTTATCAACTAACCTGATGAACTTTTAGCTCAGTGAATGTTTATATTCCGAGAAATAAATATATTTTAGGATCTTGATTTCAAATCAAAAGTTGCCGAGTCAAGTTTTGAATTGCACAGAAATCAGCATCCGGAACACGTTCTCATTCAGCCGAGCGATGTCACACACTGAGCCTACGAATAATTGCATCCGCGTATGCGTCGTGTCAATGCTTGCGTGCACCCATTCACTGAATTACAAACCTACTACTAACAGAAATTTTCAAAACCGCGTCACTTGAGGCATCTTTGGAAATGGCCTTCTTTTTAATGTTTTCTTCAAAATGGCAGCATGCCAGAAAGAATGATTTCACAGGGAGTTTAGTGCCATTACTATCTTTAAACCAAGCAAGCTTTTAACAATAATTTGGTCAGTTACTTTTTGGATAGCTGCAAATGATCTACTCTATGTTAACCTTTAAGCACTTGTCATACACCGTAAGGAGGGGGGGGGGGGGGGAGTTGTTACGGTTCATGACTCATGATCAGAGGGTCAGGGGTTCGAATCCAGCTGCTGGTCATATGTTGTGTCCTTGGGCAAGCCACTTTACCCCCACTTGCCTCTCTACACCCAGGAGCACAAATGGGTACCGACATTAGCTGCGGAGTAACCTGCGATGTTTTCTATGAGTGCATGTTTAGTAGAGTGGAACCCTCACAGCTTCACCACTCAGTTTCTTATTCCAAAGTCTCAACAGCCTGGTCAATAGGTTATGCGTAATCCACTGGCTCTTGATGGTCTCCTACCTTCTTCAACTTTCCTCCGATCATCTTGTCTTCCTTCTCTAGTCTGATGCTGGAACGACCTGGACGCAAGCCTGCCCAGGTGCTTACCACTTTAGCACTCTGTGAGGAAGAAGTAGAACAAACAAAAATGAATAAAGTACAAAAGCACAGTTGCAGAGTCAGCACTCACAAAATATAATAATTTAGCTTGGAAATAACCTGTGCAAAAAAAATGAAAGTTTCTCTTTAAAGGAAATGTACAACATTTGCTTTTGCTGCAATTTTCAAAAATAAATGGATTTAGAGGAATAGTATGTAATAGCGAATATTGTTACACTGACTTGTTTCACGTTTTGGGTTCATAGATGCTGAAAACAAAACAAACCAATCATGTTCTATAGTAGTCTGGTTCCATGACCCAACTTACGATGAATCTGAGCGATTTATGGACGTTGGGGAATTGTATGGTCAGAGAATCAGTCTAGCTGGCTTGTTCCCGTTCACAGGTGTGTGATCAATTGCAAAGAAAATGCGAAAGAACTAAATACGAAAACTTAAAAGCAGTTTTTGAAGAAAAAAAAGCCATTTTTCTCCAACGCTGGTCGGCTGACCAGCATTGGAATAGATACAAAAATACCACTTTACTTAAAAATGACAGCACACCAGGAGCCATGATTTTACATGGTTGCTTTAGACTGTCATTCCCTAACAAACAGTAAGGTATTTATTTATTATAGGTAATTTGATCATTTTGTTTTTGATACTTGCAAATGTTGGATCTTCCCAAATTTGAAAGTTCAAATCCCTTCCCTTTCAAATTGGTGCATATTTAGTGTATGGGGTAATTTAAGCTGAGAAAGCTAAAATTTTAAGTTTTAGCGCCATTGGACAAAAATGGTTTTCGCGCTACCACCCGCCATTGTTTGGTGATTTTGGATTCTTTGAAAAGGTCACATCATAAGCGATCCAAAAGCATTATTTTGCATGTCAGAACAATTTGAAGTATGATGACCTTTTGACCTTTACTTTATCCTTGTGGATGACGTGACTTTCAGACAAACTTGTATGAAAATTATTGCGAGTTTTGATCAAGTTGACTTTTTCAGTCTCAAGCTGATATTTTCAAATTTCAAGTTAACTTTTTAAGTATCAAAATGGCTTTTTCAGAGTTTTGAGTTGGCTTTTCAAGTTTGAGTTTGATCGCGTTGACTTGATGAGTTTCAAAGCTGATATTTTCAAGGTTCAAGTTGACTTTTCAAAACTCGAGGTGACTTTTTCGAGTGTGGAGTTGGGAATGTAACCTTTTTATCACAACTGAGAATTTGTTCAATGTTTCAAGATTACTTTTTGAAATTCGATTTGGCTTTTCAAGTTTTAACCTTTCAAGTTTTGAAATGACTTTTGAGTTGACTTTTGAAGTTTTGATCAAGTGGACTTTTGAGTTTCAAGCTGACATTTTCAAGTTTTAAGTTGACTCTTCAAGTTTCAAGATGACTTTTTTGAGTTTAGAGTTGGCTTTTTGAGCTTCGATCAAGCTGACTTTTCGAGTTTCAAGTTGGCTTTTTGAGAATCGATCAAGTTGACATTTTGAGTTTCAAGCTGACATTTTCAAGCTTCAAATTGACTCTTCAAGTTTGGAGAAGACTTTTCGGGTGTCGATGTGGCATTTCAACTTTTATGTTGACTGTTCGATTTTCAGTTAATATTTCCCAGTTTTGACCAAATTACCTTTTGAGTTTTAATCATGTTAACTTGTCGAGTTCCCCAAACCCTATACAGAAAAGGAAAACATGGTTAGGATAAGAAGAGCTGTTAATTGTTGCTCACCTTCAAGCTAGGTACAAGCTTAGTGCATCTTTCAATGATGCCTTTGACATCTTCCGGGTCCGACTCCTCGTTCCAATTATTGACTTGGGCTGTTCCTCCACAGTGGATGTACTCAGCGCTACAAAAATCAATGCCCAGGGTGTAGGATTAGCGAACAAAGAATGCCACGAGGTACCCAATTAGATGGGGATGTCACTAGTTTTAAACCCTTATGCTGTGAATGAACTACACATGCATGTCGTCACGTCAGTGCAACAAGGTTGTAACTCGATTCTGCAACAAAGTCGTATCTCGCGCGAATACGCTTCGTGCAACAAGGTCGTATCTCAACGTCCATTGACTTAGTGTGTACATCTGGGTTATTTTAAGCGAGATGCGACCTTTTGACATTCTAAAACTTGCGTTTTGCGTTCAGGCCATTTTAGAAAATACGACCTTGTTGCATTGATGCGACGATGTGGAGACGCAATTTCAACGCAGCTTCTAAGCAGACAATCTTACTTGGCTCATTTTTGTGGTAAGCAAAATTCAGCTGAGTACCAGCCACCAGTAATGAAGAGACAGTGGCATATTGGCTGGTAACCGCTTATCACATTTTCTATGCTTAACAAATATTTTCGTGCTCAGTGAAATTGGCCCCTAGAGGTCATTTCAGCTGGTCATTGACCTTTTGAACTATGACCCGCATGTCATCATTCACAGTCCCTCAGGCACATAGACATGCATTATTATCTTTAGGCAAACTTGAATCCCCGATCCTGATTGGTCGATCCATGGCAACAAACTGTGCAACATATAACCATGTAGCATGACTACGGTCCAGACGGAGCACGAATACTTCCGAGAACAAGTACAGGTCTCCGAGTATGAGTAATTTTACTTCCGAGTACGAGTACTTCCAAGAACTAGTACAGGTCTCCGACTATGAGTACTTTAATTCCGAGTACGAGTACAAGTACTTCCGAGTACCAGTGCGAGTACTTGTATTCCGAGTACGGCCATACAGCAAATGGTTCATGGTGCCCAGGCCCAGTCAGACCGATATACAGACCCACTCATGGCTAGCTGTTAAATACGTTTGTCCGGACGCGCACAGAGGAAAATCAGGAAACTTCAATTTCTCCGCAAGCCAATCAACCACTTCAAACTGAAGGTCGTGGTAAGTCAGGCTATACCATTTTTTTTCTCAAGTACTGCTATTCGAGTACGAGTACTTCGATGATCGATCACAATTTCGACATGTCGAGAACAAGTACTTTGCTGCCCGAGTTCGAATACCGTCATTTCGAGTACGAGTACTTTGACATTCGAGTACGAGTACGAGTACTCTGAAGACAGTACTCGAATAGCACTCGAGTACGAGTACTGAGTACCACAACACTGACGCAGAGTGCGATATGGACCATGTTATATGGTATAATGTAGCATGTTTGTTGCCATGGATCAACCAATCAGAATGGAGAATTCAAGTTTGAAGATAAAATTATCATATACAGGAATTAAAGTTGAGAAATTGGGTGAAACTCCAATAAGGAAGTTTAACTCTTTCATTATCTGGATTTACTAAAATATCAAAGAAACATAAAACATGTAAATATATAAAATTATGTAAGCCTAACTAAAAAAAAAGTGGAATTTAAAATCTTCGCAATGCAATACCTCTCTTACACGTTTGTCAGTTAAGTGTTTTTGTTTGATTTTTATTAGTTTTGCAAATGCTTTTCATGCCAGACAAGCCATTTTCATGAAGACTGCTCTGATAAGCAGTTAGCTAGAAAACAATAGAAAGTTGGAAGATTGTGCAAGAAAAGTACTTTATGAATTTGAACATGCAATTATAACATTTCTTGGATTAATGTTTTCCATTTTTCCCCCCTGCCATTCCACTAAAAAAAAAATCTCCGGTGTCTGGTTTGCGAGCGCGTCGCCGCAGCCCTGCGCGTTGGCAAAATTTAAAAAAAAAAAAAATTTCAATATAAGATGATTTCTCAAAACCGCCAAACTCACTGGTTTTAATGGAATCCTGCTGCTGCACAATTTTAACGTGTTTTTAGATGGGGTTACAATCGAGTATAAGCTTTAAGTGGCATCTCTGGGCTCCCATATATTTTGCACTAAATTCGGGCACCATTTGCAGACGGTGTTGTAATTTTGTAATTGTGCGTCTGGAAGCCAGATTGAGGGAGTGATGGTCGTGTATCTGGAACCTGTAAACGCTTTTTAATTAGCGCAATATGTAAGGGAGCAGACTAATGACCAGCCTGGTAGCTCATGCACGTTGTCGATGGCCCTGTAGTGTACTGTCTCGTTTTCTCAGACTATCCAAATTTCCCGAAGAATGGTCATGTCGTAAGTGGGTGCAGAATTCTCAAGCCTTATGGCCTTACTGAGGTCACCTCAATCTTCACCCTGAAGGATATTTTTGAGAGTTTTAAGGGGATCGAAGCGTCATCTGCAACATCAGCCGACATTTGAAGGAAAAAAAGTAGGGAGAAAAAAACAAATAAACAAAAACGCGTCGCCGCACCACTTTTGGGGCAAGCTCCATACCAGAAACCGGAGACTTTTTTTGGGGGGGGGGGCCTTATCTCCTTTACAAATTCTTTGCATTTAGTACATGTAATATCAAAAATGGATAGAGTGGTTTCTTAAAATGGTATATGGCAAGCGTATGCACAGCAGTGGGATTTGGGAATGGTAGTTATGTAAATGTCAACTAAACACCAAAGTGTCTGTAATTTACATATTTGTTTTCTTTGCATGGAAAATGGCTTATGAACATTAAATGGCCCACAATTAAAATGTTCAGCTAACTTGTTCAGTTGTAATCAAATGTGTTCCTTAAAAACTATTATTAACAAGGTGCTTGATTTTAATGTATTCTCACCGACCACTGAATCAAACATACAAAAACTACACAATTTCAATAGCTTAGAAGTAGAACGCATGCTGAAAGTTCACCAGATGATATCTGAGCACAATGTGAGTTGCCAATTTTCCCAGCTGCTTATGTTGGTTAGTTGGTGGATTGGTTGGTTGGTTGGTTGGTGGACATTTTACTCGGCCATATAATTGTATTCATACAACTCAAGTAGGTCCCCAAAGCACACGGCTTCTTAAGACTACCAAGAACAACCCACAAACCAAATTTCAAGTTCCTAAGTAAAGTATTTCTCAAGTTACCAAGTTGACAAGATTTCTACTGTTTTTAGCAATAGCGACCTTGACCTTTGACCTGTTGGTCCCAAAAGCAATAGGCTTCTTAAGACTACCAAGAACAACCCACAAACCAAATTTCAAGTTCCTAAGTAAAGTATTTCTCAAGTTACCAAGTTGACAAGATTTCTACTGTTTTTAGCAATAGCGACCTTGACCTTTGACCTGTCGGCTCCAAAAGCAAACTGCTTCTTAAGACTACCAAGAACAACCCACAAACCAAATTTCAAGTTCTTAAGTAAAGTATTTCTCAAGTTACCAAGTTGACAAGATTTCTAGAGTAACAGTAAAAAGGTTGTTAACAAGCAAATCAGGGTTGCATAACAAATCAACAGGTTTGCAGCTAAACACATCTCAGACACACGAGACAAAGAAACTTACGAAGGTGACGGCAAAAAATATGTGTCGCTGCTATCGTCTGGCTTTGTAGTTTCTAAATAACTCATGGCAGATCTAGGATTGGTGAACTGCAAGTTGAAAAAAAAAATCCTCCATTTTGTTGTGAATTTTATCCCCTGTATGCATGAGCGTCAATCCTTGGGGGCACAGGGGGACATTTCCCCCCCCCCCACCACTTTTTGAAGGATGGGGGACACGATTTCAAATGTCCCCCCAGATTTTTGAACTCGTGTGTCTCATTTACAGGGCCCTATTATGTACTACAATGTATCTTTTGCTAAGAAAATATTGGTTAAAGTGGTCAGAAATTGCCTCAGATAGGACCACAGAGCAGCTCGAATCCAAAATTTTCGGGGCTGTTAAACGCGCCCTGAACCCCACTCCTTTACCTGATGACTTCAATGACTTCAACCAAACCCCACGCCTATAGCTCGGAACAGCTGATTCAATGATTCCAACCTTGAAAATGATGTTTAAATGATTATCGTTTGCTAAAATTTTTTTTATAAAGTTGTCGAAAATTGCCTCAGATAGCACCACAGAGGGCAAGGTCTAGAATTATTTTTTTCGGGGCCCTTAACTTAAGCGGGCCCCCGAACCCCATGCTGTAGGGGCTTCAGCAGATGATATCTGAGCTACTCCCGCACGATGTGAGTTGCCAATTTTCCCAGCTGCTTATGTTGGTTAGTTGGTGGGTTGGTGGGTGGATTGGTGGGTGGGTTGGTTGGTTGGTTATTTGGTTGGTTGGTTGGTTGTTGGACACTTTACTCGGCCATATATTGTATTCATACAACTCAGGTATTACAGCTTTGCAAGTATTACAGCTTTGCATTCAAAAGACAGGTTTTGCAAACATTATTGCGCATGCATCTAATTTGCACACTTTTTGCATAACAGATCACGCCCCATTCCTTTTCGTTTTCTGTACTCTCGAGGTACCAGTTCAGCCCGGGTGCAGTCGGACGGTGTATCCGGTGTGGGTTGTACCAATTGGTACTTGTTCATCAAACATGTACAGCATTGTGTAATGGAAGCTTCCTGAGGTTCATGTTCTGGTTCAATTGATTATGAAAAGAGTTTCTTATGTTTTGATGAACAACCCACAAACCAAATTCCAAGTTCGTATAAGTAAAGTATCTCTCAAGTGTAACCATGTTGACAAGATTTCTACTGTTTTTAGCAATAGGGACCTTGACCTTTGACCTGTCGGCCCCAAAAGCAAACGACTTCTTAAGACTACCAAGAACAACCCACAAACCAAATTTCAAGTTCCAAAGTAAAGTATTTCTCAAGTTAGAAAGTTGACAAGATTTCTATTGTTTTTAGCAATAGTGACCTTGACCTTTGACCTGTAGGTCCCAAAAGCACACGGCTTCTTAAGACTACCAAGAACAACCCACAAACCAAATTTCAAGTTCCTAAGTAAAGTATTTTTCAAGTTACCAAGTTGACAAGATTTCTACTGTTTTTAGCAATAGCGACCTTGACCTTTGACCTGTCGGCTCCAAAAGCAAACGGCTTCTTAAGATTACCAAGAACAACCCACAAACCAAATTTGAAGTTCCTAAGTAAAGTATTTCTCAAGTTACCAAGTTTAATTGACAAGATTTCTAGAGTAACAGTAAAAAGGTTGTTAACAAGCAAATCAGGGTTGCATGATACAAGTCAACAGGTTTGCAGCTAAACACATCTCAGACACACGAGACAGAAAGAAACTTACGAAGGTGACGGCAAAAGATACGTGTCGCTGCCACCGTCAGGATTTTCAGTGTCTAAATAACTCATGGCAGATCTAGGATTGGTGAACTGCAAGTTGAAAAAAAACCAATCCTCCATTTTGTTGTGAATTTTATCCTCTGTATGCATGAGCGTCAATCCTTGGGGGCACGGGGGGACATGTACCCCCCCACTTTTTGAAGGATGGGGGACATGTACCCCCCCCACTTTTTGAAGGATGGGGGACACAAATTCAAATGTCCCCCCACATTTTTGAACTCATGTGTCTCATTTACAGGGCCCTGTTATGTACTACAATGTATCTTTTGCTAAGAAAATATTGGTTAAAGTGGTCAGATATTGCCTCAGATTGCACCACAGAGCAGCTCGAATCCAAACATTAAACGCGCCCCGAAGCCCACTCCTTTATCTCAGAATATAAAAGCTGATGACTTCAATGACTTCAACCGAACCCCAAACCCTACGCCTATAGCTCGGAACAGCTGATTCAATAATTCCAACCTCGAAAATGATGTTGAAATGATTTTCGTTTGCTAAAAAAAAAAAGGGTTAAAGTGGTCGAAAATTGCCTCGGATAGCACCACAGAGGGCAACGTCTAGAATTAAATTTTGTCGAGGCCCTTAAGCGGGCCCCCGAACCCCATGCCGTAGGGGCTTCGGGCTCGCATTAGTTCTGATCAAGTTATGTTCCCCCCCCCCCACTTTTGAGAAGTGATTGATGCCCCTTCCCGTACGTACACGTGCTTGTCGCTTTGCAAAGCCTGTTGCCTCGGGAATTAAGACAAGATGCAAGAAATGTGATGATAATTATAAAAATAATAATAATACAAAGTATTTGTAAGGCACACAGTATCTGAAAATAAACACCGCAAAAAAGTTTACACTCAGTGGAGGGGTCATCAATTTCGATCTGATCGTCTTGTGATGACGTCATTTATATAGACCTTTGGGGAATTTCGTTAGCTACATTTTGATACCCCGTTTGCTACCAAAGACTGTAAATCATCCAAGATCGACGACGGTTTATGAAAAATGATACAGTTGGAAAAGTTGCAAATTGAAAAGATTCAGCAAGGATAAATTGTTAAATATATTTAACCACATTTGCCCGTAATTGGCCCCTAGAGATTGCACAGTGCCCGAACAAAGCGCAGGTCAGCGCGAGCACTGTGCGATCGATATTCCATGGCATTCGTTTCGGGCAGTGTAACATTGTCAACAACATTGCAACTTTTCCAACTGCAACATATTTTTTACAATCTTTGGTAGCAAACGGGGTATCAAAATGTGGCTAACAAAATTCCCACATGGTCTATATAAATGACGCCATCATAAGACGATCAGACTCAATATTATGACCCCTCCAATGAGTGTGGATTTTCTTTTGTTGCAGTGTTTGATATTCATTCAAGGCGATGGTCAGTGAAAAGTCCATGTGTGTGAAAATAAAAAGCCATTATGTTTGAGAGAGAAGCTGATTGATGAATTGAGTTTTGAGGTGGTGTGTGAAGAAAGATACGTCTGTACAGAGCGAGTAAAAAAACATAACAATGACTGGAAAGCCAATTTCATAAGCTCCTTTTAGATGAAAAAAAATACTGAAATTGCTCAATCCGTTCAAAGAATATCACCATTTAAACGCAATAACCCTAAAACCTCTTTTGTCAAAAAAAAAGTTTATTGTGTATTCTGACTGCTTGGAACAATAAAGAAAATGACACAGAATACTTGTTTCAAACAACTGTCAACAACTGTAGTACACAATATCTTTATAACAACCCTGGTTAGGCAAACAACACAATTTTCCAAAATCTACTTTTTCTAAAAGATGGGCCTTCAAAAGGACTTAATTGAATATTTTTTACTTTTAAACTCAGGTTTTATCACTGGTTATGTTTGCAGACAATTGTGACGACAATTCTTGAAATCACATTTTTGGACGAAACAGGTTTAGTGTCATTGTGTTTAAATGGTGATATTTTTTGAACGGATTGAACAATTTCAGTAATTTTTTAATCTAAAAATAGCTTATGAAATTGGCTTTCCAGTAAATATTATGTTTTGTGCTACATATTTTTTTTAAATATGAAATATAATTTTTGGGGTTTGGTTCCGTTTTTTTTTTACTCACCCTGTGTTTGTGACAACAAAGAAACAAAACAAAAACGTAAACTTGAAAGCAATATCTTCCCCTGCTGGTTTTGAAGTCATGATGTGATGTCGTTGCCGCAGGACAGTTTGTGTAGCGGAAGTGACAACGAATTAGAGACATGTTTATAGCCGACTCTGATTTTTTGCCGCTTTTCGTCAACTTACCCAGGCAAAATGTGTCTATCTGAGCTTCTTTCTCCCTGAAGTGAGGTGTAATTGTTCCATAGGGATTTGAACTGAATAAGAAAGGAGCTTAATTAGACAATTAATCTACAACGTATGGGGGGTTTCACAGCCTCTTCCCCAGTGTCTACGGACCTCGAGACAATAGTAGACCCTGGCGTGTTAACTTGCTTCATGTATTCTGATTGGACCCCGAATATCAAATGGATTTATATCGCGTACTTGGTGGTTTTATTCAAACAATGCTGTCACATTGTTTGAAATGCAGTCACATCTGTATGCGATTTCAACATGCTACAGCAGTTAGCAGAAAATCGTGATCGGAGTGCGGAATTCTGTGGTTAGCAGAGCCTTGCCATTGGGTCCCACTTGTTAATGGAAGATGCCACCGTGCCTTTTCTTTCAACTTACCCAGGTAAAATGTATGTCCCTCCCTGAAGTGAGCAGTAATTATGCCACAGGGATTTCATCTGAATGATAAAAGTGGGCTGTTTAACTATACGCAAAAGTGTTCAAAACTAAGCCCTTTTTGCACCATTATTATCCTCCTGCTGTTTGAACAGTCACAGACAGTCAAAAAATCAATCCTCTTCCCCTGTCACACCTTTTACACAGGCTAGTCACCAACAGTTAGATCATATTTCAAGCTAGCACTGTGACTAGTCAAATCCAGTCAACAGACAAAAGCAGGCAAGAAGTAGGCACAACTGACTTATCAATTACCAACAGTCAAGCATAGCTGTATACAGTCACAGCCAGTCAATCCTGCTTTATGTAGGCTAGGAGCTCTTAAGTGTTGAAAACAGCCACTTATTATTATCATTATTATTATTAATCATTTCTGGTAATGAAACCAAGGATTCCTCAAAAGTGCCCTCGGCACCGTATCTAGCAAGCCTGAAGAAACCTGTGGAGAGAAGACAATGAGAAGAAACTACAGTTTTAGAGGTGGGAGGAAAAGCGCAGAGGAATATTTTCCCTGTGTTGCTTTGATGAT